CAGCGTTTGTGCTTTTGGGGACAATTAGTCATTCGCTCTTTGCAGTTTATGGCATGTCAAGCAGCAAAGGTGTGCACATACAGATTAAAGCAAATAATCTGCACCATGATGATTACTCCTTAATTTGACATTGATCAATTGCTTCTTACTTCATGCTATAATACTAAAAATTTTAATTCAGATTTTTAATATAATATTTCACTACAACTTCCTGTCATTTTTTGAGAAATTGAGAGAAATCTTTGCACATATTTTAATTTGCCCAGTAATTTGTGCTGCAACACCTTTTTATTTTCAGGTTGTTGAACAGTTATTTTATGCATACAGTAGCAAAAGAACATCGCTAACACAAGTCTTAATTGACAAGATATTTTCAATAAAATACCTTAGTTTTTGTTCCTTTACCTCACTCCCACTTTCTCTTTCCGAAAAGCACCAGCTACTGCTGTACTGCAGGGTAGTATATATATAAATATATGACCAATCACTGGAGCGCTCTTTTCTTTACTTCTCTCCAGGTTTTGTCATAGCTGTTCCTTTCGTTCAGATATTTTTAGGAAGAAGGTAGGGAAGAAGATGGCGTTGTTGAATTGTTTCATACAATGACTGTTGTACTCCCTGGCCCATTTCTGGTCCCATTTAAGGTCCACTTTCTGGAGAGGGAGAGGGTACCAGAGGAATTGTCCAAAATCACAAATGTCACAGAGTCTTAGGGATGCTGTGTTCTGGACTTTAGGAAATCTAAATACTTGTTGCAGGTTTGCAGGGGTGCAAGGTGGGGATTGCAAATAACCAAAAGCAGTTCTTCCTTTGCAGAATCAGAATTCACGCTGTATTTTATCATGTATTGCTTCCATCTAGTTCTTGAGGTGTTCTTGTTTTACAGTATAGCTTAAGTAGCATAAGTCTTTTTTTTCTAGAACTTGCCTTTTCTTATGGTCCTGGCAGACCTTTCCTCTTATCTCCCCATTCAAGCACATGAAATCATGGATGCTATGTATAAGATAGTGTTCTCATGACCATCATGTGACTAAAAATGCTGCAGACTTATTAACCAAACTTGTAATTGGTTAGAACCATATTGATTTGTTTAAGAGACTGTACCACAGCATCAAAATTCAGCTCTGACTTAATCTGCTTTCCACTGAATTTCTACTGCTAAACAGAAATTCTAAGTTTTAAATATCACTGTAGATTGAGGGAAGTCTGGAAAAACTTAGCTGTTGCTGCAAACCAGCTTTGGTGTCTCTTTTCTATCATGCTATGGGCTCATTCGTTTTTTTAAAAAAGTGTATTTTCACTTCTGACCTGATGTTATTTCGTAGGGAGTTATTTCTTTAGAAATACTAAATCATAGCTCAGGATATATGAAGTTCCTGACTGGTTCATGCCTTATGGTCTGCACAATATGTAAACACTAGGTTTTAAATGTTTTTCAGTAAGATGAAACAAAAAGCAACTGAGAATTCTCATGTTTGTGGTTAAACCCTTTCCAAAACAGAGTTGAAAGAAACTTTTTCTTTGTGTCTCTTCTGCCAGAAAACATAGCTCATTACTGGGGAAGCCTGTTTCTTTGTTAAAATTTTATTTTAAAACAGCCTGTTTCTTTGTTAAAATTTTTTTATTAAAACAGACTTCGCCATCACAGCTGTGTGAAGGAGGGATAAAGCTGTGTGCTGAAGGATGTTAGTATATTGTGACGTAAGTGGTGAGATTCAGTTCAGTCCTCCAGGGTCCATAAGAAAAACACTTACATGTCATACATGAACCGATGTTGTAATAATTCTTTAAAATAAATAGGTGCTTAAACATCTAGTCAATGTGGTATTTTTTCTAAATTACTCTTGCTTGTTTCTTATAATCTCTGAAATAATTTTCATTCTTCTTCCTTTCTTACGTGATAACACTGTGAAACCAAGTTTTACAATGGCAAGTTGTATGTATCACACACAATTTCAGTGATTACAAATACTGTGACTGGCTGCACTTATTAGAAATTTTTCAGGATACATCATTTTTATTTGTGTTGGGACAGTATGTTTGTTTGGAAATTGCTCTTCTCTTGTTACGTTTTACAACAATGTTGGCACAGGAGAGATCCCACTGGGAATGTCGCAATTTTGGACATCATATTGTTGCATAGTTTTAGCACTATTACTCTGTGTTAAATCTACTGCAACTATACACCTTAGGGGAGGGGAGGGTTGGAGTTTGCTGTTTTCACTAAAACATTAATGAGAAATGAATTATGGAAGTAATGCAGAAGAAATCCTAGGGCCGAGTAGTGTATTATGGGAGATGGTTTGTGCAAAGTTGGTGTCCATTGCATAAATTCCCTTGAAATGATATGCTGTGTCCATGCAGGATATACACAGTTACTTTATTGGCTCCTTTAGTATCTACAGATTCTTAAGCAGGTTCTGGTCAGTCGGATTCATTTGCTGTTTCCACTTAGGCTGGAGTTTGGCGAGTGCTTTAAATCAGCAAAAGTAATCCCTGCCGCCATAACAAGGAACTCTGCTGCCTGCATCATCATTTTTCCCTGGTGCTGGCATAGGATTTGTGGGGCTGTGTGGTTAAGTGATCAGAAAAAACATTGTATTTAATTTGGATCAGCTTCCCACAGACTTTGACAATACAAAGGGCCTGGGACCAGCAACAGAGGTAAGAAAACTTTGGGTTTGGCAGTAGTAGGAAGCAGGATCCATCACAGTGGTCTGTCCTTGCATTTGATGCATTTATTTGATATTTTATCTGGACTAGTGTATGGTAAAATTAGGATGTTTATGGAAGCTGCCTCTGTCAATCTGCGAGTGCGAGTTTTTATTTTCTTTTCTCCTAGTAGCAAAGAAAGGGATAAAAAAGGTTGTTTCACCAAAAAAATTGAAAAGAGCAGCAAAGATCTCAAACTGTTTTCTGTCATAAGGCAATTAAACAATTCTAGATATGCAAGGCTGACTTAATTCTGACAATTCTATTATTTTGTAGTTTTAGCTCCCACATAGAGATGGTCAGAAACATTAACTTAGAAGTGTTGGTTTTTCAAAATCAAGTTCAGACAAGTTTAAGATGAGGTCATGTTTGAGCCTGGTAAAAACTGGAAAGAAGCACCTAGAGTGATTTTTTTTTTTTTTTTTTTTTTCTTTTCTTTTTTCCCTTTAATACTTACACAAACAAGGAGTTTCATTATGATCCCCATTACCTTTTAGTATCATTAGATTAGATGCTTCTATGATTTTCTTGTTTTCTTTTCTGTTTGCACCCTGCCACATCTTCTGAACTTTATATCCATCATAGCCTCTGCTATAGATAGCTTCAGTCGTACCTGTAGATTGGATAATGTGGTTCCTTCCCACTTGTACATTAAAGTTCATCTGGAGGTTTTTCTCTACAAAGTTTTTCACAGTGATTCCTTCTACTGAGTTTTTGAATTACTGGTTATTTATAAGTAATAACTCATGGCTTATTCTAAGCATTAAGGTAGACCTAGAGTCAGCTCCAGCTGCACTTGGAGTCACCTCTTTTCCTTAGGCAACCTAGAGCAGCATACATTGGAGCAGTGGTAGGCAGGATGTCTCTGAGGAGAGCTTTTTTACTCTGGAAAAGCTTCCCTTTAAAAAAAAATCAAAAGACACAAGACCTATCTGCATTGACAGTCTTTAAAAAGTAATTTGTACTAGACAGTTCCTTGGAATAAAGATATGAAAATTACTATGTCAGTTATTGTATGCGTTTTGGAATGGGAGCTTTTATCTTCTTGTGGTGATGAGGAGTAATTGAAATTCAAAACAAATAAAGAAAATGGCAATTAAATTTTGATTTTTTTTTATTGATTTATTTAAATAATTTATTACACCAATTCATGTTAGATGGGTTTTAAAATTAATATCTGCCCTCCCTTAAAAATGTAAAGGTGAAGTGTCAGTTTATTAAACAGGCAGTATCTCTGTGGGAACTCCCTGCTGACACAGGGCGCTCTTGATGTGACCATAACTCCTCTCAGAATTAAGAGCTGGGTGTGTTAGAGAGCAGGAGCTGTTTGTGTTTGTGAGACCTGTCCCTTGGCATTTATAAGCAAGAGCTTTCCTTGACCTTCAAAGAAAAAAATAATCCTTTGCAACTGCATTATTTATCACAATACAGCTTTATCTCTTGAAGAAGAGTAATACTAATGGGTACTTTATACATATAGACTGGTAATTGGGACTGACTAAGGAAAAATATTGATTCTTCAAATACAAACATTTGGTGGGAGCTTTGGTTAAACTTTTGTGTCTTCCCAAGCAAGGAATGTATGATTACAAAGAAACAGTAAAACTTACTGCTGGCATCAAGCAGAGCATTTCCCTGCATCTGGGAAGACCCTTTACTGAAAATCTTTCCATTGCTGGGTTGAGATTACAAGCTTGAACTGGTATCTCTAAAGGAGGGAACACTTTGGCTAGAGTACAGAAGGCTTGTCTAAGGTGTGTGTCTCACGTTTCCCTTGTTGGAACTGTTACTTATAAATATGCGTGTATTTTTTTAAAATAGATATTTTAGACCAGACATTTGAAGCTGAGATTTCCATGTAGCAGAGAGTACTTTTAGCAGGGAGCTGGGAGAAAAGTACTTCCTGATTCTTTTCATTACAGCACTGCCCACCTAATACCAACTCCATAATCTAAAGATGGTCTTGGAATAGAGATTTAAAGCTGGGCATCCAGCATTTTAAGCAAGTTTCCTCTAAGCATAAGGCAGTTCAGGATCTGAAAATGTGACTATGAAAGAAGTGTTGCATTTGGCTTTTTCTCATTGTGGCAGTAAGATTTTTAAAGATGTTCATTTATTTCATGTTTGAAGTGAGTCGCTTCATAATCCTGAAAATTTTGCAGGCAGTACAGCAAAACAGATTCCTGTGCAACTGTTCCCACCGTGTGACAGCAAATATACAGACAATACTTGTCCTCATGAAGTTTTAAGATAGCTTTACTGAATGTTTCTTTTTTCCCTTCCTTCAGATTTGTCACGGAACAGACTGTCAGAGCTTCCAGCAGAAGCATGTCATTTTGTCTCCCTTGAGAGTCTTAATTTGTACCAGAACTGCATTCGATATATCCCAGAAGCCGTTTTGAACCTACAGTCATTAACTTTTCTAAATATCAGGTAATGATTGTCTTAGAAATTTTGATTTAGCATCAGTAATCTAGGTTTATATATTTTGATGCTTGCGTGGTGCATAATCATCACATTGCTATATTGTATGTCATTGAATTGAAGTGACCTGAACCAGTCTTACCCTCTTAGCTGGGTCAGGGAACATGAGGATTAAGCAGCAGCTTGTAGACGTGAGTATGAAGAAGAAGGCTAATTTAAACTTAAAGGATTTGCAAAATAAATTCCACTAGTTTTCATGTGAAATACAAGCATGCAGACTGAAAAGAGATTATAGAGCTTTTGGATAATCTTTACAATTCAGCTCTCAGCAGCTGAATAAGTTTTATGCAATTTCCCTTTATCTTCACTGTACTGGTGGCTTTTAAAGATCTTTCTCTCGAGTGTTAACACTTCTCTGCCAGCATTAAAAGCTAATTGCTACAACTTAGCCTGTTGATGAAATTAAACTGGGCAGCATTGTGCATTTGTAGAAGGCCTTTTAAGAGGCGTGGAAAGTTCCTCGTCACAAATTGGCAGTGATATCAATCCAGAAAAACTTCAGGCTACTTTCTTCTGGTGTTATGCTTTTGCCACTTTAATATGTTTATGTTTCTTTATTTTCTATTTTTCATTGATGGTGAGAACTGTAGGAATAGAATATGAAGCAGGTATGGGTTTCCTGTTGCTGTGATCTCTAGTAGGTAGAGTCCAGTTACGATCCTTTTAAAAGCTGCTGTTGGTTTACCTACTGCTCAGAACGTTTGGGGGTTTTTTTATGCTTTAATAGCAGGGAAATCTGGGTTTCAGGCATGAAAAAATACAAAAAATACAGCAGCATATTTTGCTAAATGTCAACATCTGATCAAAGCCTTATTTAAGATCTTGATAACTTTCTTCCTAATCATCCAGCCACTGCTCCTTGCTATGTTTTATTTTTAAAGGGAGTCTTTCTCTCTTATAATCTGTTCTCATTCTGCCTGGTTGATCAAGGTTATGGTCCAGTCATATGACCTCGTATTTACTTTAGGAGTAGTTTATTATGAAATGTCCAAGACTGGATTTTGGAATAGCAAAATCTATCATACGAAGATCCTTGATCCACATGACTTACTCAATTAGAAATATACTTTAAATATTCAGTAAGTAAAGACTTTCTGTGTAGCATTTTGAAGGTGCTGACCTGCAATACTACCTATCAGAAAGACTTTTGCACTCCGTTAAAATACACACATTTGTGACAGAGGGTGGCCGGTTACCAGAAGCACCCGAAAGGGCATGAAAATATCATATTTCCGAGCAGTGAGTTTGAAAGTATCTAATCAGGCTTTGTACTTGATATTCAGTTTGTTCACATGTAACTAGATAAAGCCAGTAATGAAGAACAACTTAATGGAGCTACTTTTACAGTAATTATAAAAAAACCCGAGCTGATCATCTAAATGGAGTGTGCTTTTTGTATGTGTCTTTCATTGCATTAAAATGTGAGGTGATTTTGTTTTCTTTCTGTCCAAAAAGTCGAAACCAGCTTTCAACATTGCCAGTACACCTCTGTAGTCTACCACTAAAAGTTTTGATAGCGAGTAATAATAAGTTGGTTTCAATACCTGAAGAAATTGGACAGCTCAGACAGCTGACAGAGCTTGTGAGTATACAATTATTTTTTAACTTACTATTCAATCTTGAATTTTGAATTGATGGGTTTAATAGATTGAGGTGCTTCAGAAGAAACAACATTTTTTTAAACTGATCAAAGTAATGCAGTAATTAGGATACTATCTGGGCATGTGCAAGATCAAAGTCCTGTTTCCCATTCTGCTGAGAATTTTCTGATTGTAAACCAGTCCCTTTTATGCAGTGGCAAGTTACTTGAATCTTCTCTTAGCCTAAGGAATATTTCTGTCTGCCATAGTATCTCTAACCATGTTTTGTCTTTGTATAGAGGTGTTAGAATAGAGATTGAAATACTCTGTGATTTAAAAAAAAAAAAATTGAGGGCAGGATGCCTTGCAATGAAGATCAAATGATCCATGTCAATTTAATTAAGAGTTTTCCCTGTTTTGAAAGGAAGACTGGATGGAATTAAAGCTCTTGGTGCATTTGTTTCGGGCAAAAAGCTTTTATGTAGCAAGTTGTGCTGTCTCAATTAATATGGAATACCTTGAATGAGGTAACTTGAAATAAGCTTCTGCATCTGAATGCTTAATCTTTTAAAGCTTGTAGTAGCCCATGTAGTTAAAATGCAAATAATGCTTCACATCAGATTTAATGAATATAAGGATCTGAGGTGTTATGTAAGTAGTTGTCTTTTTCTTTCAGTCCTTAAATAAAGCGCTACATATTTTAGTTAACAGAGACTTACCAGTCAGTGATAACTCATTCTGTACTCCTGCTTTGTAGGATGTGAGCTCTAATGAAATACAGACAATACCTCCACAGATTGGCAATTTAGAATCCTTGCGGGACCTAAATGTCAGAAGAAATAATTTGGTGCGTTTACCTGAAGGTAAGATAAAGGCTGTCAGTTATAACAGCAGAAACTTCAAGTACTTTATTTTCAGTGCCTTTTTCTTCCTCTGAGAGCTAGAAGCAGTGTACTTAATTGTTTTGTAAATCACATATTTTTATACTGTTGCTTTTTTATATATATATATATATATATATATATATATATATATACACACACTCTTTTAATCTGATGAATTCTATGTTTACTTTCTATCTCCAGAGCTTGCTGAGTTGCCTTTGATTCGATTAGATTTCTCCTGCAATAAAATAACAACAATACCAGTTTGTTATAGGAACCTCAGACATCTGCAGACCATCACATTAGAGAACAACCCTCTCCAGTCACCCCCTGCACAGGTAAACTGCTAAGAATTTAAATGACTTGTTCAACTAAGAAGAACAGAACAAAGTTAAAAGCTGAAGGATTGTGTGATAAATTTTATTTAAGAACAAGAGGACTTTCATTAAATTGAATTGTCTATAATTGTTTAATATACAGCACAGCTTGAAAAATCCCTTTTCTTTCTTTTACTCTACTGTATTAGTAGTCTCATCCGTGGGATATTACTAAGAATTCTACTGTTAGCATTGTACTAATGTTAACTGAACATTTCTACTTTCAGTGTATGAGAGGAATGTCTCTTAGGCGAGACTGATTTTTTTTTTTTTCCACTCATGTCAAAATTTTGACTGAGGACTCGGTGCTTCTGTGTGCTGATTCACTTTGCAGCTAGAAAATGCACTATGGTTAGTGACTAATTTGATTTTTAATGTGGGTATATAAACCCTTGAGTATTACAGGTTCTACTGTGAGCTACTGCTTCTGAGTCAAGAGTGGCACTTGCTAAGACCTGTAGTTTCAGTAGGGTTTTCCCTCCCTTTTGAAAGCAAAGACAGCTGTTACTGGCTCTGTTCACTTTAAATTTGAGCTTGCTTTGGCAATCTGCCACTGCCATTCAGAGCTGGGCATGGGTGGGATGCATCTGTTCTGATGCCAAGGGTATCAATTCTGGTACTTGTAAATGCTTATGTCTTGTTTGCACGATGACATTTCAGCATCCAGCTGACGAAGTTGCATGCAGACCAGATGTACTTGGAGGACAGCTTCCATTTGTCTGTCGCAGGAACCCTGTCATGTTCTAATATAGCTGTTTCTCTAAAATGCAGCAAGATTCGAAGAAAAGATACATTGGTTGGCATAAACATGCTTATTTATTACTCTCAACTACAGGTTAACTGTCTGTAGAATAATTTGAAAATGTATTGTCAAATTATACTTATGTAAATTTTTAATTTTTTTTTTGAAAGATATGTATAAAAGGAAAAATTCACATATTTAAATACCTGAACATAGAAGCATGCAAGATAGCTCCAGACTTGCCTGATTATGATAGGAGACCCATGGGATTTGGATCTTGGTAAGTTTGATACAATCCAAGTTCCTAGTTTTGATGACATTGTCCTAAAATACAAAAATTTTGTCTTAAAACTTTTTTTAAAAATTTTAAAACTTTACTTATTTTATAAAAAAAATAGATCCAAGTCTTGTTCTTTGGTAAGTGCATTGATGGAGATGGCTTCAAAAAATATAATTTCTGGTACGCTTTTACAAGGTACCACTATATAAGAAGCAAGGAGCAGCTCAGAGGAAAACATGGACAGCACCGTATGAAAGGCAGTGTTAGAGTTGATATACAGCAAGAAGAGAATGTTGGTACCTTCACAGTACAGGGGGTGTGCTCTTGTGTTGCTAACATGTGTGTTCAGTTTATAAGACCTTAATATTTTCCACATACTGAAGTATATCCCTGCTGTGATTTTTAACCTTTTGTACAGAATTTTGTAACTGCTGTGCTCAAACCACAGGTGTAAATGGTGATCTCCGCCCCATTAGTAAACTGTTATTTTTGGCAAGCTTTCACTTGGCATTCTTGCTTAGCATTGTAACACAAATATTGGAACAGTCAGCCCTATCAGCTGCTAAATTAAGATGTCTAGAGAAAATCAGGAGTTCAGATTTATTTCTGTTACCTGATATAGAAGAAAAGGGAGTTGGTGAAGTATGAAACTAAATATATATCAAAATTATCTAGTCATCTTGAAGGTGGTAATAAGGTGTGGAGGAGTAAGTTGCTAAAGGATGTGCTGCTGTCTTAGCAGCAATAAAACAGATCAGAGGGCCTCACAATAAATCATCATGAGTCAGATTTGTGAAGAAGAATTTGCATGAGGGACTGACAGAGAGATTCCTCATCAGCACTGAATGTCTTAAATTATTTCTCTAGATGAGGTCAACGTATGAACATTTTATGTGTTACTCAGTTTCCTAGAGTATAAGCTGTTGCAGCTGGTTTCTGCATAATACTGAGGATACTGTCCTGCTAGTGAAGAGAAAAGGCTCTAAATGATAAAATGTCATGATCTCTTTATCTCTAGCATAGTTTGTTTATTTTTTTAAGAGAAATTCTGACAAAATCAGTGGGCTGTGTGCTTACTGATTTATTGTTGTTTGTAGTTGTATATTACCATGGAAGTTTTCATTAATTGCTTTTATGAAATGAGAAGAATTGATATATTTTAATCATAGCTTGGAACTATGATTGTAAAGTGCAGAGCTGGTTGAGGATCCTTTCTCTAGAGTTGCTTTCAGATTCAACGGTATGAAACAAGCTTCAGCTGGCTTTCCTTTAGCTGTTTTCCCATCTCAATGGGAGATAAGAGTTGATGATAGAATTATTTGTTGTTAGCATGCTGTTAGGGCACTTAGCGTTGCAGGTGATTCCTCCTGTCTTCAAGTACCTATGGAAGAACTGTCCACGTATCAGAGTTCATACTAGGGGAAGATGGCAGAATGAGGATCCCAAATTATTATATTCTGGAACTTTAGGATGAGAGAAATAAAAGCATTCAACTACAGTATAGTTAATATTTCCAGGCAAGTCACAAGAGCTCTTTGTTTGTTATCTTCAAAGGTTACCAACAGAAATAAGATCTATCAGTATACCTAGACTTTGTTGTTATTTTATCTGATAAGTTAGGTGAAATACCAATCTGAAACTGAGTAGGAGAGATTCTTAAAGTTTAAGGAAGTTTGAGTTGTGCTGTCAGTTCAGTCTTGATCAAACATTTTTTCATAACAAAGCTGTTAAAACTGCCAATAAAACAAGATACTCTGAAACATTATGGCAGACAGTGTGGTTTGGAGGTTCTAGTGCAGCCAATTATTTATTTTAGGCTTGTCAAATTGTATCAAACTGTCTTAACAGATTGAAATCTTGTATGTTACAGTTCTTGTCTAAACATAAGAAATGTGAAATTTATCTTGCAGCAAGTTTTGATCTGCTGCAGCCAGTCTCTCATTTGCAACACTGAAGTTCAGGGCAGCTCAGGTTGGTGCTGGAGTGAATGTGACTGGCAGGAGGCAGAACTGTCGAAGGAAGCTGTGGAGCAATTCTTTTAGCACTGAGGCAGACTGATATGGTCTGGAGTTAGAAGTTTTAAAATACGAATTACTCATGCATGAACCAGTGTAGTGGATATTCTAGGACTTGGGCAGCTTACAGGAGGTAAAAATACATGTTTTAGTGTGGCTTTGGAGCTGTGTCTTTGAAATATTGGCAAGTATTGTCTTTCTTTTGGCTGTTGGCCTTACCAGGCATCTAGCTTCTCATCCTTTGATTTCAAGCCTTACATAGCTTTCCAGGTAAGTTGTAGTTGCCCCAAAATGCTCTGTTCTATCCAAATGCCTAACTGTTGTTCCTTGTAGTGTGTTGGTTAGGGAGGAATAAAAATCTTAAGTCTCAACTGATTTCAGGATGGCTGCTGTATGATTATAAACATGTAAAGTGTGCAGCATTGAATAGCTGGTTTTAGCTGTGAGAGTTGGAGACAGAAAGCATCTTTTTTCTTAAAAAGAGAAGGGTCCTGGGAACAGTGATTATGAATTTTTGAGCTTCCAGATAACCTCAGTGTTAGATGTATAGCTTTTCAAAATCTCTTAATTGAAAAGGAAGGCTACAAGAAGAAAATGTTTATCAAAATACCTCCTAATTTTTGAGATGTAGCCAAATAGTCATTTTGATGCTCTTCAATTTGCAAGAATTGTTCAATTTACAACAGGGTTCTCAGGAGACTCTGAAAATATTGATGCATTTAAAATAGAATTGTACTGCAGATGGATTTTTCTTTTCTCTGGCCCATGTTTTAAATCTAGTATTTAAGTACTGTGAACTGGTAGCATAAGTATGGTTCTATTGTCTGTGGTTCAAGTTAATAGTTCTTTAGCTGCACTGGGCGATTTCATGGTCATTCTTTTTTGTTCCCCACTCAAAAGAAGGAAGTTGGTTTTTTTCTTCTCCTTTTTTCTTTGTAGGGGCTTATTATACAGATGATTTTTCTATTCAAATACAGGGCCATAAAGGTGGAACTCTTTTGACTTAATCAGAATTCCATAGAGATACAAGAGCTTGTCTTTTGGTGTACGTATGCAAAGAAGCAGATGTATAGCCTAACATTTCTCATCTGCAGCCCTTCGTTCCTCCTCTTTTTTGATATTTTATGTTTATCTGGAAATTAATATAGCCCCGGATAATAGTCTGTCACTGTTCTACAAAGTCCCATGTGCACATGCAGTGCTGCATTAATAATAATAATTTGAAAATAAGTATTTCTTGAAAGAGGAATTTCAGAGGGAGCAACAACTTGAGAGCAATACCAGTGAGAAAATAACCTACAATTTAGTTATGATGGGGTGAAGCCATTAGCTTCCTGAAATTCGTTCTTCCTTGTGTATTATGTAGTAATTACTGCTGCAGTTCTCCCTGGGGCATCGAGTGCCAGTAGGACAGTTGAGCCATTGTGAAATGCCATCTGCAGTGGATCAGACAAGTCCTATTGTCTCTTTTACTGTAGCTATCTGCAGCAGTTGCCAGACTTGACATCTGTGATGGCTGTACCTCTGAATTACATAGTTTCTAATCCCAGAAATTTAGAGAAGAACTGTATGGCTGTTTGGTTATGTGTATTGTAACACTAGGCACATATCTGATGCCTTTGTCTAGACATGTCATTGACAAAGGCTCTGGAGATTAAAACTGTAGTTCAATATTTATTATATTATGAAGTATTTTAAATACTGTCTAGCTTACTGCACAGTTTCTTAGGTAGGTAATTATGATACAGAAAATAGTTACGTAATACATTCTGTGTAGTTTTGTGTAGAAGTAGTATATTCTGATGTTTTTAGTAATTTTGCATGGGTTTATGCTTATTTATGGAAAAGTTTATGGGTCAGTGCTTTTCAATCAAAACAAAAGTAGTGGAAAATGGAAGTTTGATTTGTTAAACAGTGAAATAAGACACCACTTTGCAGTTTTCTCTGTCATAATTTCTGTTTGGGAAATGTTTGAAGTATGGGTATACACTGTGAATCAGATTAACTCTTAAAACACTAGGCAGTGACAGGTGGACTGCTGACTATCAAGTATGTTTGTAGTTGTAAGAACGTGCCTCTTGTTCTGTGTGGCAAATGCAGTATGATGCCTTCTAATATGCTGAGTTTCTGAACATGCTTCAACTGTGCTTGGTAGCTTATTCTGCTTTTGTTCTGTAACAGCTGAGAAGCTTTTTGGTGGTGTTGGTGTAGAATAACTAAAACTGTGTGTTTGACAGCCATGAGGAACTTTATTCTGGTCGCCCATACGGAGCACTTGATTCTGGCTTCAACAGTGTGGACAGCGGAGACAAAAGATGGTCAGGGAATGAAGTAAGTGTTGCAACTTAATTTTTGTTGAGTGCGGTATTGTTACGGAAAAAGAACTAGTCAGTGTACATCTGGAAACATACTTGGTAGGTAACATGTACATGCTAGTGTGCAGATTGCCTTCAGCCAAAATTATTTGTTGTTTTATTGGAGAAAAACATAATTTTATATGGGACGGACACAAAGTTGGAAGTAGTAAGAGAAATGTATAAAACAGTGCATGTCAGATTAATTTACTAGAGCATAAAAGATGAGAAAAATGGAGTTCCTCATTTTAAAAAAAGCTTATAACTATAATATTACAGTATTGAGTCAACTACAATTACTCATGATCAGTTGTTTCAATAAAATAAATCTAAACATGAAAACTAAGCTTCAAAAATCAGATGGAAATTTTGTCATATTTCTTAGCAGCTTGTTTCCAAATGTTTAAATCAGTTTGCCATTTAAAAGCAGGAAAATGGGATCTCTTAGCAAGGAGACTGTCAATTATTCTTCCCAGGAAGAAGCTCCATTTTCCTCTTGGGACAACTAGAAAAGGCGGTAGCCAAGACCTAAAGTGGTTCAGTGAGCTCTACTCTGTACGTCTGCTTGCAGGCCTAGCTTGGTTTTTGAGAGGATTCTAGGAGTTTCCATCCTGGGATTTTTTTCAAACACTTGCAGATTCTGCAAACAAAACTCTAGGCAAGCTGTTTTTTTAAGAAAGCTTAAATACATGTTTTTTTAAAAAATAATACACTATAGCTGTATTTTGCTTTAAGTTAGTGTTTTATAGGTGCAGAACAGGATAGTTGAAGTAAAAACACAAAGCAAGAGATAGTAGCTTACAAGATGATGTTTCCAGAGTGTTTCTTGACTTCACTGTTTGTTTTCTAAAGCCAACAGATGAGTTCTCAGATCTCCCTTTACGAGTGGCAGAGATCACTAAAGAACAGAGACTGCGAAGAGAAAGTCAATACCAGGAAAACCGAGGGAGTGCAGTCGTAACTAATGGTGGAGGTAAATAGTGATCGTTGACTAACAGTATGTATTGTCATCCTTACTGAAGTCCCAGAATATTTGCTATAAATAGTAAGTTGTCTAAAGAGGAAAAAAAGAGAAGGTTCTATGTGGAATTATACAAATACACTGTTGTGTAAATAATGTAAAAAACCTGTTGTACTAAGGATGTTACAAGGCAAAATCAAATAGCATCAGAATTAGGATTATCTGGGAAACATTCTGTCAGCTTCTGCATATGTGTCATGTTAAAGTCTCCAACTGCTTCAAACAGTATTTTGGAATCTTGAATTTTGTTGCATGGAGTTTTGCTGCTTGAGCTACTGGGGAGAATTTACAGCAGTAGTAAATTATCGGTGATCTGTGTCAGCTGCTGTCAGAACAGGATGAGCAATTTTGTCAGGGCATTTCATATTTCCAGTTAGCAAAAGGGTCTCATTTGGCAGTCTTGGGGTTTAATCCAAACTTGCAAGCTGCCTAGGAGGGACTGGTGTTCCTGAATGATACTGCTTTTTTGCACCTTCTCAATTGGTTGTCCTACGGTCTTACAGTAGCACCCATGTATTTGTTCAAGAGGTGACATAGCCTTACATGTTTCTTGATATCTGCAGTCTGTCCTCCATTTTAACTTTGAGTAATCTGTGGATACCACTGTCTCTTTCTGGTTTTGTCCCAATTTTAGCATTCTTCCAGGTTTGTTTTTTTCAGTCGTTCCCTCTTCTCCACTTCTCTGCACTACTTATTATTAGATCTCATCCCCATTTACTTTGATTAATTTTTCTTCTTTCTCAACTGCTGCCTGTTTTCCATTTCCATGAATGGCTACACTTCATATTCCCTGAGTGTCACTATTCCCAGCCACTTTTAATTTTCCATGCCCAACTCCTACTTTTTCTTCTCTCTCCCCTCCTTGTCCCCATCTTCACCTTTTCCCATCTCTGTTCTTCTCTGCCACAATACTTTGTTTTCTTTGCCACCTTCTAGAAATATCTGAAACTTTTTGGTTGACTCACACTCTTTTACACATTAATGGACAAACAAATCAGTTCAAACAGTTAAATTCTGTCAAAGTTAGAAGAATTGAAGACCTGGTGTTATGGGAGGCTCTGGGCAGCCTTGATAACAAGTAGTACTGCCAGCTCCACCTCCAAGACTAACTTCATTTTGCTCTTTGGGTTTTGCACACCAGGGATTTCAAAATGCCTCACTAGTCTTTTAAGATGGAGCATGTTCAGTTAATGAGTAGGAGTATCTGAGAGAGGCACAAGCCATAGCATGTGGCTGTCAGTGATCCAGAAGATCCTGTCCAATTTTGTGTTCCTAACACAGATTCTAGTGTCTTTCACCTTCTACTGTATTATTATTATTTAAGTTTAATAAGCAAGGCTGGAAATAAGAGGTTTTTTATTTTGCTTTGTTTTGTTGTTTTTTTTTTAAAAGATTTGAAACTGAGATGGAGATTTAGTGAAGCCAGAGTGTATAGGAATGCTGTTTTGGATGGTTGTAGTAGCAGAGGAGGTGGCTTTGGCAGTAACAGTTGCTAGATTGTGTGGTGAGGCAAAGAGAAGTCTGTATTAGACAAGCAGGAAAGGGGCGGGGGAGTAGAAAAAGAATGTCTGCATCAGAGTCTGGAGCAAGTTTGGGGAGAGTGTTAAGAAAAGGAAAGCTCTAGTGCTCAGAAAGGGAGCTTAGGCTTTCCCCTGCATCCCTAGCACGGTATTTTTCACCAGGGTAGTTTGCTCAATGTCATGACTCAGAATCCCTGGGCAGAATGTGTGAAAGCAGTGACAAGTGAAAAAATGGCTCTACGTAATATTACCCACACAGGGAAAATCAGTACTAGCCAAACTGTGCTGTTTCTTGCTCTCAGTTCAGTGGTTTTTACTTTCTTTTTTTCATTCTTCTTTCTAAAATAAAACTGCAGATGCTTTTATATTGTTTTATAGGGGTTTTGTTGCTTTCTGTACTGTCCTTCGTTATTTCCACAAACACTTTTTATATTTATTGCACTTGCATCCAGATAACTTAAGACATACTGCCCTCTGTTTTGTTTTTGTAGTAGTAAAAATTGTAAATTGTCATATCCATTCTAATTTTTCTGACAGAGGTGAATTAGAACCAAGAGAACCAATTCAAAATGTACACAAATCATTGTACAGTCTTGGTGTTAGCTGACAGATTTTGATAGATAGCTTTCAGTATTAATAAAAAAAAAAATCACAGTATTTACTTTACTTTTCTAGTCACTGCAAAAGTATCTACGGCCATCAGTTGACTACATGCTTGATACCTGTTTCTCATCGCTTTTTTAAAAGCATAAATTTTATCGTTATTTCAAAATTTGACGTTTAACAAATGTTAGTGGGCCTGGCAAAATCTAAGAGGTTTTAGACTGAGCTTTCCCAAACAGAAGAAAAACATTAGGGCCTTCGTTCCTGGCATTACTTTTTTCTGGGTTTTTGGGTTTGTTTGTTTGTTGTTTTTTTTTTGTTTTGTTTTGTTTTGTTTTGTTTTTTTGTTTTTTTGTTTTTTTTTTTTTTTCCTCTCTTGTTGGTTATCTAATTATGGGTGTTTTCTTTGCGTATGTACGTCAAGTGGAACATGATCTCGATCAGATCGACTATATTGATAGCTGTGCCACAGAAGAGGAGGAGGAGGAGGTGAGGCAACCCAAGTGCATGGACTCAGACAGCCTCAGCTCACAGTTCATGGCATATATTGACCAGCGGCGAATCTCTAATGAGGTGGTGCATTTACTTAAATTAGTTAAATTGTACAACCCAGGAAAGCCCTTGTGATGGTATTAATGCTGCTTGTTCACAGAGGTTTTCTTTGGGTTTTTTTCTGTTCGGTTTGGATTGTTTTAAAAAAAAAAAAAAAATAGATCTGATCTGGAGGATGAGCACAGTGTTGTACTTTGGGGAGGTCAGAGCTGGAGTGTTAAGCTGCTCCCAAGTGCCCTTTGGGATGTGTGGAATAAGTCTAAAGCAGCCACACTAGTTTCCTGTTGTGTGGGTTCATACAAGCTTGTGCTTTAGGCATACGTGACGTAAATAGTTTTTCCAAAGGTGTGCTGTCTTCAAAAAACATTGAAGTTGATTCTTCCAACTGGTGATTGGTAATACCTAGAAGCGTTAATTATTCTTGGTAGTACCAGCTTTCACAAGGGAAAAATGTTGATTGTTATCAGTGTAAGGATTTGGTACAGGAATTTTGCAACTCCGTTAATTTGGCTGTTCACGTTGATTATAAGTTATTTGCTAGTGAACTCAGTGTCTTGAGCATCTCCTTTAACTTTAGACTAACATAAATATTCAGACTTTTCAGAAAGCCTGCTCTTTGCAGAGAACAATTTCTTTTACTGTTGAGCAAGGCTCTGAACCTACAGGTACAGACTTGGATATGTATATAGTCACCTTTTTGAACAAAAAGTGCCATCTGTAGTTTCAGACAAATCTGGCATGAAACTGTTGTCAGTCAGTAAAAGTATAAAGTTGAATGAACAATAGGTAAAATTATTGCTAGACAGGTTACAAGGTTCTCCAGAGAGCTTTTTACAAATGTCTAGAAACAGGTGTAACTCTGGACATTGGCCTGTTTTCTGACACAGAAAAAAGAAAAATAAATAAGAAAAAAGTAAAAAAGGGCAAACTTAGCATATATGATCCTAATAATAGCTGCTTTTATTGATTGCTTACTGTATCCAAATGATGTCCTGGTGCAGACAAGGGCAATGATTCCAGTAAAATTGCTGTTACTTTTCTTTAGCTCATGTCATTTCATAGCTTTATAGGTGCTCAGTAGTTAGTGTATGCTTTAATAAAATTCACTAGAGTTGCTCTGAAATTATATAAATTGCCAAAACTGGAAGGTGCCTTCATTCCAATTGTAGCAGCCACTGCTGCAAACACATGGAGAAAACTGTTCCCTGTTAAGTCATTTGGATGGTACACTTCCAGAGAGTGTTCTCAGAAATTGAACTGTAGAAACAGATTTTCAGGCATGTAATGTTTCCTTCTGTGTTCTGTCAGTCTTAATTAATACCTAAGTACACAGCTGCGCACTTCAGTGGATCACCGTACATACTACCCAAAAAACCTGTATGAGAAAATCTTTGTGGTTGGTAGGCTTAAACAGTGCCTTTTGTGCTGTGATTCAAATGTGTCTCTTCAAGGTTTTGTGTGTTTTGAAGCAGGAAGATAATTGGTTGTTGAAGAAAGAAGAAAAAAAAAAACTGGATCTTTAGCATTCATGTAGGAGCCTGGTCCCTGTTTTGTCCACTTTATATTACTGTTTCCTGTGTTTAAAATCAGTGACATGGATATGAGAGGTGTGTTCATTTTGCAAATCTCATAAACCCAATATCAAATCGCAAAAGCTGATGCCACTTGAAGCACAGACACAAGAGCAAAACTCAGAAGAGGCAACTATTGGCAATACAACCCAATGACTCTTTGATGTAGAAGGTGAAAAGACATTGATAAACTCAAAAAGCTGTTCCTAGGGACCTACCTATTAATAAAATTTGAACTGTTTGCTTTTAACTGAAGCAGTAGTTTCTCTAAAAAGACAATCCAAAATACTCTGCTGCTTAGGAAGACTAACTGTATGCAATATAGCAACATGCGTACCGGCATGAGTGAAAATTGGCAAGTTAATCTTGAAGTTTCCATTTTCATACATTGAGTGTCAGTAGAAGTTTTAAAGTAATACCGAGGCAATATGTCTCTGTTCCCAATGTGATACATGATTTCATAGTTCAAATTAAGCCTAAGGTTCTCATTCATCCCATGTTTTGCTTTCTTAGTCTCTCTGTGACCTGTCTTTAGGACATCGTAAAAGACCATCAGCTACTGTATCCTATATTTCTGAAAATCCAGACTGCATTGCTGTACTTTTGTATATGTTCTTTGGAGCTTAACTCTACATTTCTTCTAAGTGATATTAATTATTTTCTACCTACATGTACCTACATGTTCTCTGCATGATTCCTAATAGTGGAGTTTTTAAACTCTTAAATTTATCAGTAGGCATATTTAATCTTGAAACTAACATTTATTTAAATTAGAGGGAAAGATAAAAGTGAGCTTGCTTACTTGGAAATTAACATCCCTGAGTTGTGTTTTTTGGTTCTTTGTCAGGTATTGTGGTTACCAGTAGTTACAAATGTTGCTCTACAAAGAGATTCTTTGACAACAATATACAGTTCTCTGAATAAGTTGGTAACGTAGTCTTGTGTGTTATTTTGCTTAGGGCTCACCAGTAAAGCCTGTATCCATCAGAGAATTTCAGAGAACAGAGGATACAAGACGATATTTACATCAAAACAGGTAAGAATATGTAGTAACAGCAATTTTATCCAAAGTGTCATGATGAATGCAGAGTGCATATTTACTGAATGTGTTACATTGTTTTCTGTTGCTTCACCAGAAATATGGCACTTCATAAATTGTCCCAATTAGGAATTTGTATTCTAGTAATGGCAGTGACCAAAAGGTTTGGCTGTTCTAGTCCAATGCTCAGCTTTAAATCAGTTGGTTAAAAAAATCTGCCAAATTAAAATGTATACTTTAAAACTGATTTAATATGTGCTTTTCACAATTTAATTTGTGCTTTGATTAAATAGTTCACTTAAGCTACATTACGTAAAGGACTGAAGGAATAAACATACTGCAGATTTAGGGGAAGCATAAAGAGAGTTACTAGGGAGTATCTGATGTGCTGTGAGGTCACATTCTTGGTTGACTCTTGGTAGCTGTAGTACTGTGGAGGTTTAGTTTAATTTAAAATATGCTTTTCTGTGCCATAATTGTAAGCTTACATCAGGAGAAGGGATAGAATGGGAATCACTGCTGAAAACAGTTTGCTTAATTTAACAAAGTAGACTTTTTGAATTATGTCCATAATCTTTAATGATTACTTGGCTTATTGGAGGGAATGCTTATCTGTAAAATACGAGTCAGAGTCGGACGGAGCATAAAAGAGGTGGCTAGATTTGAGAAGAGGCTTTTGGGTGTCTAGTTAAAAGAACAGAAGACAAGCAAATGTATAGCTTCTTGCTAATGGAACTAAAATCAGAATTGATAGAACCTTTAATATGCTATTGGAGCATATCAGTATTCTGTGGGGTGAAAGTGAATATGCAAGGACTCAGCAGAAAACTAGCTCAATTGTACTAGGAATGTTATAAACAAGAAGACAACTGCTAGCTGTATGTCATTACTTATACTGTCAGTAGAAATTAATTTTTAATGCCATTCTAAAATGGTATTGAAAGAGAAGACCAGTGTGTAAATTTTTCCAGAGTTATGACAACATTTCAATAGACCTTTTGAAATATGCAGTAAATGTGCAGTTACAGTATCTGTACTGATATAAAGGAGGGTAACTCCTTCAGCATATATCAGCATTCCTTATCCTGTAATGTCTACAGGTAAGGCATAAAGTAATACAGCAGTCTGACATGTTCTCCCCGAATAAAGTGAGTGTTCTTGGTTTGAAAGACTGATATTTTTTTTGTTTGTTTGTTTATTTTTCTATGTGAACATTTGTGGTCAACATGGAAATAATTAGACTTTGCAAACAATGGATTCCAAGAAATGTCTGAAGGAAATGAGAAGGCTAGTTAACCAGGAGAGAGCTGCTGTTTACAGGCAGATTTTAATGATAAAGGAAATTGTAGTTCACTAGGGCATCCAGTGTTTTAAAAATTTAACTTAAGGATGACAGCACATCTTCATGCGGAAGTAGTTAAATCAATGATCTAAATGAATTATAGCTTATTCATACTATGCTGCAGCAGAGTGAAATTCTTAACGAGGCACTAAAACCAGGTCATATTCTTATTGCCTTCAAAATTGTATAAAAACAGTCATATGACAATGAGTAATTTTTTATATTTTAAGCTTGTATTAGTCAAATATTTCATTTGTGGCAACCACAAGCTGTAAACTGCTTCCACAATAATTCTGTGCAAATGCCTTGGCAGGCAGCCTCTTTTTTTTTTTTTCTCGAGCATGCTGGAGCCATTAAGACTCTTAGAGTTGGATGTAATGCAGACTTCATCTCAAGAGTACTTACATTAGTTGATTCAATTCAGTAAATACAGTTTGTGCCTCTAGACACACTGTGGTGCATTCCTGATGCAACAAAGCTGTGTGTACTCTGGTCTGAATACACTTCTTGGCACTCAGTTGAACCCGGTCCTGACTGTTGAAAACAGCACAGTAATGGATTTGTCATGTGCATCAGTGCTAATTTAAGTAACAGAGGAGACCTGTAGCATATTCGTGAGCTTCTCTGCACAGAATGGGTAATAAGTCTACACACAGGCAGCAGGACTGACATTTTTGGGAAATTCCATCGTTGTCCCAGGAGCCAAGGTTGCAGAGTCTAGGCTGTCAAGTGTAAGCTACTAAGTTTCCATCTACTTTCTTTCTAGGCAGCAACATGGCAGGGAACTTGGTGTAGACTGTGGACCTTGGGAATTATTTTGGTGCTAGCAGCTGCCTTCTAGCAAAGAACTGACTGAAAAATTCCTCTTTCATTGTTGATGTGATGGATAAGAGACAGACCACTTATTATTTACCTTGTGACTTTGATGGCTTGTATCACTGAACGTTAGGAAGTCATCGCTTGATTGGTGAAGTGAGCAGATCAGTTCTGAAAATACCAGGGGGTGATAACATTTAAAAATAATTCTGTTCTTTCCAGAGCAGATTAAGGCCGACAATAAGCAGAATATATCTTAAAAGAGAGATTCCATCTTCGTATATTTTGAAATCATTGTTAATTAAGCAAGTTACATTTGTTTAATTATGAATTGCAGTAGTCGTGATCTGACTTGGTATCACAGTATGATTTGTTTAGTCATCCTAAATTTCATCTTTGTGGTTATCTGAAGCTAATTTTCTAGGCACTTACTCTTAGAGAAACAGCTGTAATCTAGAGGAGAATTCATCTGACAGTAGTTTATGTGCATCAGTGGCCAATCCCCCTTCCACCTGGTGTTTACCTACAGGGATACTGATGAATTACGAAGACCTGAAACTCTAAATTTGATGCAGGACAGAGAGCATCATCAAGTACTAAGGAGTTATGTGGACAGGACAGAGAGGTAGGGAAAAGAAACGTATAGATTCTACTGATTAATTTTATTTATTTCCCCCTCCAAATAACCATAGTAGCCAGTTGTTCCTCTAAACAAGGATCATATGAAAAGTTCCTGGATTGGTTACTTAACCAATGGGTTATAAAGTACTGAGAATGGGTATAAAGTACTGAGTACTTCAGTGTACTAGTCAAACGTACAATCCCATTGGTACATCTTGAGCTGTGGAAAAATTATATCACAATTCAGGAGACAGAAATGACCGCACAAAATCTGTCATGCACGACGAGTTAAACTGTTATCGCAGCAGTTGGTTTAACAGCTTTGCTTACTAAACAGTTACTCTTCTTATTTGATAAGATGCTTATGTGTTGCACATGACTCATATGATGAAGATTTGTTTATATTTAAGATAAAAAGTATACTTACCCTCTGTGTTTCTATTTGTCAGACCCCTGGCTGATTCGCCTTACTTTCTCTCTCTGTCAAGTCACCACAGTCAGGTAAAACATTGAACTCTGCTCTTTTATTCTTTTGGATCAGTTTGATGCAAAAGCAAACTGATGTAAGCCATAAACGTGGACTGTTTCTCCAGAACCCATCTGTTTTACCCTGTGTAGCTCTCTCTTTACAGCCTGGTGCACTGTTTTGTTCCAGGTGCCTAATACAGATCCTGAGCTGCACCGCAGGCACATAGAGCGCACCCGTCGGGAGGCCCAGCAAGCAGCACTTCAGTACGAGGAGGAGAGGATGAGAACAAAACAGATTCAGAGAGAAGCTGTCCTTGACTTTGTTAAGGTACCTCCTTTTAGTACCAACTTGTGCTTTTCTGAATCCCTTAATGAAAATTAATTGCCAAGATCATTAATACTTGTATGTTGCACTCTTGGGCATGCATGGCACTTTATAAAGAAAATTAAGAAATAGCATTTAAGTCCATTTGGTGTTGGTGCGGTAGTTTTAGACAGACAAAACTGGAACTGGGGAAGAAAATGGAAGACATTTACCCAAAATACGATTATTGCAAAGAATTCTGTTTTAACATAGTCTGCCGCATTCTTTCAATTTTGTCATTTGCATAGATGTGACAGAATTAGTATAAGAAGGGGTCTTTATTTGAGAAGTCACAGGGACAATTTTAATTTTTAAGACAAACTTGGCACAGAAAAAAGCATACACACAACATAATGTTGCCTGATCTATTTTGGTATTTTATGATGTATAAATAAGTTACCTCCAGCTAAAGCAGCGGTGCAAATTTATGCTACATCAGATGCTCTGGGGACACTGTCTTTGCTTTCTCTTTCACTGCAGTCAGTATGAAGTAGACTGCTGCTTAACATGCAAATTTGTTTAAATGCTAGTTGACTAAAATTTATTTTACTGTTTACTGCTCTGGTGACCTACCCAAATATCAACAACACAAATTTAAGAAATGTTACAGCTGTGAGTGGTCTGCAGAGAGGAAAATAAAGTTTTATTGCATTTATATAATATATAAAGTTAGTTTAGAAAAAATGTTTTTAGCTGCCTGAAAATCGGCTTTTCATTAGTATCAACTAATCTCAGGCCCCAGCAATGTTTTGTAGAAAAGATGCTTTTATTAAAGATTCAGCTCAATCTTTTCAGTTAAAGACTTCAGATATTTAAGATGCATCCTGTTCATTGATGTGCCTTTTGGGGTTTTCTGTTTTAGTTGTGGTTTTTTTCTTCTGTTGCCTTTGTTATTCATGAGCACTTTATTCTCAGCAGTTAAATTCCTCCCTTGGGTTATATTTTGAGTTTATTATGTATCTTTAATATGCAAAACCAATTTGTTTTTTTTGTTGTTTTCATATGGAATAAATGCTTTTTTTTCACTAATAATATCAATGAAGTTACAGCTCAGTGGAAACTTGAAGTTTCCCCGATGCATGTTTTATTTAAAAACTAAGACTTATGTTTTAAAATGCTTCTAAATTATGCTGGTTTGTTCTGAGCTTTTGTTTCTCTGTCACATTCTTTTAAATTGATCTTGTCATTTTTCCTTTTTCTCTATAGCAAAAAGCATCCTTAAGTCCTCAGAAGCAAAGTCCTCTGGATAGTGAGGTAAGAGTCTAATAAGAGTATTACTAGGGATGTCAGCGCCTGACCTCTTAGTTCTCTCCATCAGAGATATTTTCCTGGCTGTGGAAAACTCTTCAGGACTGGGTTATAGCATATCCTTTTTCACACTTATTATTAAGCCTTGGGTGGGTTTTTTTGCTTATGCAACCAGCCTAATATTTCTTTCTGTTAACATAGATTCCCTGTCCAAGTGTGTTGTGTTATTGTTTCTTGTATGTTTTCTATGTTCTACACAGAAAATATATTTTGTATTCCATTTTAAGATGCTCCTTGTGAGCGGTACAGGTTACTTTCTAATGGGAGTATTCAGACAAGTTATTGGTTTGTAGTCATCCTTCATCGATCAGTTTTCTCCCAGTTTCCTGTCATTATAGCACCAGTTATCCTAGAAAGATAAAGCATTAGATTTTTTGAGGGATATCAGAAAAAGAAATAAGTAGATTTTTTTTAAAAAAGTTTTATTCTAGTGTAGTTTTATAATCAAAACCAGTAAGTCAGTAGGAAACACAAATCATACAGGGCTCAGTCTTCTAGAATATACAGAGCTGAGCCAATGACATCTGTTCACTCCCTGCATCAGATTTCTGCATAGTAATAGCTCCTCCACTGCTTGCCATCTCCACTTTCCTCCAGAGGAAGCTAATTCACTTGGCAGTGTTAATCAGATCAAAACTTTTAATAATATAATGAATATAAATAGTTCTTTAGGAGCATTTTCCAACTAACTCTTTTTTTTGTTAGAAAATTACCAAAACATGGGTAATTGAAATGGGTTTTGCTGCTTTTCCTTCTTAATGTTCTTTTGTTCTTAATTTATTCTTTTAAAGGGTCCTTTGTTCTATCACAGTAAGAACTGTGAATACATAGTTGTCTGTATTTGCTTGAGACAACACAGAAAGCAGAGTAATTGATTCCTTAAGTAATACGAATACACTATAATTCATGGATCATGTGGCTATATATTCCTATAGAGTTACGTATACTTTATGGGTTTTTTTTAAAAGCCTCACAATGCTATAAACAAGCAGTACATGTTCCAAAATGTCTGTCTGTTCACATACCGTATGTTTCTGACATTCTGTGTGTTTCTGACATTACTCCATCTCTCCCACCTCCCAGTGTCCCTTTCCATCCAGAAGGTCTCAGCATACTGATGATAGTGCCTTGTTAGTGGTAAGATCCTGCACGTAATGGCCTTTTTATGTGGCAGATTCTAGAGCATAGAAATAACAATGTTATGATTGTCTCAGATTAGACCAACTATTTTAGAGCTAATCTAAATAGCATAAAACATGACTGTCTTCCTTGAAAAGCAGCTTAGCTGTGAACTTTAATATTATGAATATGTTGATACTTGCACTGTCAGCCATTTGTTATTAGTGATGGTTTTTCCATAAAATAATTAAAGCTTATCTTTTGCTGAGAGCAGAAGAAAATTACTGATAGTAAAGAACAGCTTCTAAAATTAAAAATTCACCTCTAGTTGTTCTGGTTTGATTTCTTCTCTGTTTAGTTTGCTTCCTAATCGATGTGTTCTTCAGTGTCAAGTAAGCAATTTTAATGCTTTGAGTACAGCCTTCTACTTTAACTTGTCTGTATCCTGCACATGGTGGTTAGAAATACTTAGTATCGTGGTAACCATATCATAGCATGGGGAAAAACTGCTCCATGGATGAATGCTACAAATCATGAAATATTCTTCATACCTTTTCATTATTGGTGAAGATGTCTTAAAAAAAAATCTGGTTTCAACACTTAAAAACATTTATGCACTTAATTCATGTTTTATGCTATTTCTTCCTCTATGGCATCCTAATAATGTAGCATAATTAAAGAACATGATTAATGCCATAATCCATATCTATAAAAGAAATATACACCTGATTTGCCTGCTGTTGCATGACTGCATGCCTGGGGTTTATTTTCTTAATTCATATGTTTCCATTATCTGCCTAGATTTTCTTTAGGCAGTGCTCTTAGAATACCCCTCTCCAGAACACATTGGGAAAGATATTTATTTTCTCTTTATTCAGACTTTTTTGGTTTTCCTGCTTTCACATGACTAGCACTGTGTGGGAAGGAAAGCAAGCTTATAATATTAGAGAGAGATTTAGTGATCATGCATGTGCCTGTTTAGAAAAATCACAATTAGCGTATAAGAATGTGCTTTCATATTTAGATAATAAGAAACAGGAGAACAGCAGTGGTTTAGATTAAGTGTTGATACTGTGCTGTCAGTGAATTCATCTTTAGAGTGTATTTTAAATATATCTTTAAGGACTCAATTTCTATTTGATTATATGGCTTTTGCTGTAAATTAATATATAGACTTTTATATTACATGACTTGGAATTTTTAGAAATTAATTTGAAACTGGCTTCAATCATTGTTTGTTTCCTTTGTGTCTTTAACCAAGTTACATCCTTGCACTTCACAAAAAGGTGACCAGGCTGGTAGGGAGAGACTGAACTAGATTTGAAAGCAGCCATTTCTCTGTTCATTTTTCTTCTGATTCCTTGCTCTTTTCAGCAGCACTAAACTATAATAGTATATGAAATACTGGGTTTTCTGAGCTGCTGAAGCATGATCTGCAGCTCTATTTTGTAGTAGAAATACACACTGTATCTAATGATGACATATGCCAGGGCAGCTGTTTCTGGCAGTTATTGTAACTGGAACATTAAGCCCATGCTAGTTTATGAGTTTGTAGCATTTTTGCTTCCACAAATGTTTTTTGTGTGGTAAAAACTTGTTCAACAAGGAAATATTCATAAGATTGCTTAAAAAAAAAAAGTCTGTCATAGGACTTGAGATTACTTCTACCTTTTTATATTCTATTGCATTTCATTTGACATTTTCTCTGTCCTTATGGATTTGAAATTTAACTGTGTCTAATTTCTAAGGATGGTTTTTCCCTCCACTGAAGTAGAGAGGCATTTCATATCAGAATTCTTTTTGCTAATGCCAGTTTTCAGTACGTTTTTTATTTACATAGCATCCTCTCTGTCTTTTTCTGTCTGCATAAAGACTTCGTGCAGTAGTGTAAACATTGCCTTACAAAACTTCTAGACATTGAAACTTGCAGATAGGTTAGTTTGAAAAAAAAAAAAAAAAAAAAAAAAAACACCAAAAAAAAACCAAAAATTCTGCTAGATTTTCCACTGATTGTTCTAGCTTTATGGTGTGGGAATAACACTCTCTGGCAAAAGAAGAGAATATTACATTGAGGTATAGTAAAAGATCTTTTTTCAGCTTTTCCCTTCCGTTGTTACATCAGAGCTCTCTGAACTGAACGGTTGCTTTTCTTTTGCTCCAAACAATGTTTTCAGCTCAGATGTAAGAAAAATATTTTAAAAAGTATTAAGTCTAATATGTAGTTAGAAAGCCAGTGAGCTTTCTTTTATTTTACTACTTCTCTCTTCCGGTATTGTTGTTGCTTTAACAAAAATTTTCTTAAAACCAACATTTAAGTTGTGAATCTCTTTTTTTAAATCTTACATCCTGTTTCTTTTGGTTTTCACCTTGTTGTCTTTTATCACTAATTAAAATTAAAATGTATTCGTACTGAACAGGTTACTCTGACTGTTTAGTTCTGTTTGTAAACAATTTCAGGACAGTCTGTTTGAACTCACAAAATGACTACCCATACTTTCTATGAACGTTGACAGTTCAGTTAAGTTGTATGTTTCTTCTGCATAACATTCCTGTGATGAGAAGTGAAGTGGAATTTGGCTGTAGTGCTTCATTGCACACCAGTGGATTTATTTGTGTTGACTTGTAATAGCCACGCTAAAATGCTGCTGAAGAAATGTAATCTGTGGCCACTCTTGAGAAAATGTGCTGTATACCTCAAAGTTTTATGTTAGTCATATCCTACTTGCTATTCTAACAAGAGTAGTCCCATTTGTTACAACTGAGATTATGATAGATTCTATGAAGTAGAATGGTTTGGGTCAGGAGGGACCTTAGAGATCATCTAGTTCCAACCCCCCTGCCATGGAGGGGGTTGAGACAGTATCGAGGCTTCAGACTTGGCAAATTATTACAGCCTTGATTGCTTATGAATCTGAATTTTCCCCAAATATCTTACTGTTTTCTCTCATACTGTCCCTTACAAGGTGAGTACTATGGAACGGAAAAAAAAAAAAAAATCCTCTCAAATTGCGGCTCAATTTCTCTGTTGTGAAGCTGGTGAAATACTTGATATGCATCAGACAGCTGGTGTGACCTCTTCCTTTCATAACCTTTGTGTCACTGCTGCCTTGTGCTCCCTTCATTGCATTGTGTTTCCTTGTTGTGGTCTCAGACATGGCCTGAGGCCATTGTGTTACTGTTAGCACATGGGATCTCGGAAACATTTTAAGTTAAGGCTTTTAGGCACTGTGTTACAATGGTATGGGTAAAGTAAGCAGGACTTGAATTATGCTAACTTGTACCCTGGAGTTTTCTCTCAGACCATTGGCATCCATTTGTGTATTTAAACGTTTTATAATCAAATTCTCTTAAAATATCCTTATTTGGTTCGTGCAGAGTTCTGGTTGGACTCTGCTCTGGCAGTCCCTGTATCTACAGCTGTTTCTGGCACAGGGAGATTTCTCTGACTTCAGTGCTGGACCTAGAGGCCAAGTGCAGCATGTGCAGTAGGCTGCTGTAAGTCTGAATTGCAGCGTCCTGGTTCCTTTTGTATCGTGGCTACCTTTTCTTACAATTGTTCTTTGCCTCACTTCTTTCTTTCTTTCTTTCTTTCTTCCCTTTCTTTCTTTCCTTGCTGTCCCTGACAGAATGGCTTTGAGCCTCTCTTTGTGTTTGAGATTGACAATAACACCAATACCATTAAAAGAAGGCCAGGGACTCGCAAACAGGTGAAGAGCATGCAGTGTGTTGCTGTTGTGATTGTCCTACCCTATGGTGTGCAGTGTTCCCCTTCCCCTCACCCACTGCTGGGTATGTGGACTGTGGCGACTTCTTAGTCTGCGTCAAGGTTGTCTTGCTCTTTTCATACAGGAATAAACAGTTATGTTAATGTTAAAGACCACCTACTTCTGTTTTATTTTTCTGTTCTCATATACTAGCTAATGTTTCTCTTAAGTCAAGTGATATTTTGAAACTCTTTGGAAAAAAAAAAATAATAATAAATAAGTCAGTCCACAATTTTTGCTCTGCGCTGCTGTGGAGAAAGAGGCTGTTTTGAGGATGAGCTGTGAAGTCTGCATAGGGCCTAAAGATGTTTGTATTTAGGCTTGACCTGAGTATAACCTCTTCATCTAGTCCTTCCTGGCTGTACGGTTCTGAAGTGGCAGAATAGTTGCAAATCATTTTAAATATGAACACTCCCAAGTGTGTCGTTCATGTCTGTAGAGTTTCTAGGTGTCATTTGATGTTCTTTTCCTGGGCTGAACTGCCACCTTGCTGTTTGAATGTTGTTTCAGAAAGTACAGTTTCATTCTTGAGTCATTCAGTCTTCAAAAGTTAACGTTTTGATTGTGCTTTCAGTAAGACACAGAATTTGGCCTTCTACGTCCATCAGTGACAGATTGGCATGCTGGAGCTCCTGTTCTGTACACATGAAAAGTTGTTTATTTGTTCGGTTTTGATATTGGTTATAATAGAAACTTGGCTGTCACTTTGTGACAACATTTTTGAACTTCATCTTCCCCAAGAGCTAGAGTCCACCTACAGAATGTTACTCATTTTGTGTGTAATTCACAAGGACCAGCATTAGGTGTTTGTGGCAGGCACAGTGTGTATTCTTAAGTCCATTAAATGTGGGTTACTCTGATTTTACAAAGTTGATAGACAAGTAACTTAATAAAAATGTATATCATACTTGAAACATTAAGAAGGTGGCTATTTATTTTGAATAGTGGCTCAGAATAGACTGTTGTAGGGTAAAATTTCCTCTTGTGTGATGGCATAGGTGTTACACTGAAGAAGCTTTTACCTCACTTACTGTTCTTAGTTCTGCTTTTGATGTCACTGTGTTGCGTGGAGAAAAAAAAAAAAAAAAAAAAAAAAAAAAAAAAAACACCCAAACAACAACAAAAAAAATCCCGACACCTCCTAAGTTTATTAGCCAGAAAGTTGAGGAGGGTAGGAAGGCTTTAACAGTAGTTCAGTAAGTATGTACCTGCTGCCTGTTGAGTGTTTCTGAGAATGTGATCATGACCACCTCTTCCTTTTTAACTTGTCTACTGCATTCCACCTTTGTGCATGACCCGTCAGCCATTTGCTAACACTGCCACTGCCTTCTCTTTCTTTCTGCATTCAGTCACTCTCAGGGTTGAATCAAGAAAGCTGTGCTACTACCCTGCCTAATGCCTCTACCTTCAGTCCTGTCAAGGTATCTCTTGCTATTATCATTTACCAGTAAAGCCAACAAAAAGCTCTTGGATCTACACATCTGTTTTAACAGGTGTTAGTCTGTCAGCTTCTAATCAAAAGTTCAGGTAGGGTATGAATCTGATTTACCTGATTAAACTGTGGTAGATATTACCTCATCTTAGCTTTAGGCTGTGTCTATGGGAGGCCTAAGCTATAAAAACATGGTAACCAGTTTCTGCTCCAAGGGGTTCTTGGTTGTCTTTGATGTTGCTTTTTCTGTAAAAGATCATTTACTCTTGACCAAGTTGAGTTCATCAGAAGTACTCTTGTTGTGTTCTTTACCAGCTGACTTTTGAATACAGATGTGCTAAGTTTCTTTCTCTTCTGTGGAAACTGCTATACTGAATGCGTTCATCACAAGAAATCATTAATCTGTGTAAACACTGTAATAAAACCACAGTGTCTTTCACTGAAGAGAGTGATGTTCAGAAAACAGCAGTTTTGCATTAGGAAAGGTGTTGAAGAAGTGTATCCTTAATGGTGCTGCTGTAATGCAAGTTCCACATGTTATTTAATTATCTGTTTTTCTGTGTCCCCTTTGCAAAGAATACTTTGAAAATTTCGTTTGGAAGGAAGAGTAAACAAAGATCTGTCATTGCACAGTCAGTGCTGTTTCTTTTTTTTTTTTTTCCTCAGAAAAAAAAGCAATTGTGTCATTTCTCTAAAAGAAAAAACTTTGTTAGTTGCTGCAGAGATGAGACTTGGGGAACAAGATACTGTGTTTTTTCACATTTCTGGGTTTTTTTCTGAAACACAGTTAGAAGGATGGAGCCTTTTTTAAAACACATCAAATTAAAATGTAGTCACAGCTTTTCCAGATTAGGATCATTTATACTCTTCTGCTTTTTTGTCCACAGAGTGAGGACAGATCTACCATCTCCGGCTCACCTACCACTCAGACAGGTAACAGGGAAAGGAAGAAAAATTTCTGAAAAATAAGATCAAAATGCTTGCTTGCTTACTTGTACTACGAAGAGAAGGGAGCATATGTTCCCATCTCTGTATGTGGCACTGCTGTGTTTGAGAATGTACCCAGTTATTTGGGTCCCCTTAGAAACACATGAGGGAAAAGATAACAGGGGAGAAGCATGTCCTTAGGCAGAGTGTAGGGTTTGGCTGTTTTAGGTCTTCGTACAGCCTTTGGCACACAGATGCACTTAAGCAACAGTCAGAACAGTTGTTGGAGTTGGTATGTGGAATGTGCTTTGCATGCAAGTGTCCTTGGAAGTGCCTTTTCCTGCTCTGTGCTTTTATCATGCATGGCTATAATTTATTTTGTCATTATTATATTAAAATTTTTGTTTTGTTCTTTTTAATTACCACATTGCTGAACCCATTTCCGATTTAAACTCTAACCGTTTCCTCCTTCCTCCTTTCCCTTCCTGTGCCTTTCCACATTTGTTTAGTCCACCTTTCCCCTCCATATCCTGGCCATGCAGCCCCGCCTTCCTATAGAAACCCTTCCCAGCGACCTGAGAGTTTCCTTTTCCGAGCAGCTGTCAGGGATGAAGCAAACAAAGGTAGGTTAAATAGCTCAGAAATTAGCTAGTTTTGCTATGTTGTGTTAACATCTGCATTACCTAGGTCTTGCACTGTTCTGTTACTTCAGGTCATTATCATCAAACTACTTTCGGAGTTCCATTTGTAGACAGATGGCATGAAATACTTTGAATAAGCAATTTTTTTTATTTAGAGCTGTCAAATACTCTTTTGACATAATTGTGGGAATTTGTTCTTCCTGGTCTGTGCTTACATCTAAAAAGATACCAAGAAAATGCCACACAAGCCTTAAACAACTGATGAAGGCAGCTTGATAAATTTTGCCTTGCACATTAGCACATAACAAAATTACCATTTCTTTAGAAAGACTGAACTGTTTCAACATACTCCATCCAGCAAAACTTTGTCCTTTTTTGATTTTTATCCAACAAAAAGAACAGAATCTAAACAGAAAGGAAAATGGGTTAAAGAACACTTCATTTAGATTAGGGGATCATTAGTTTGATTATTAATCAAATAAAAGAAATAGACTTGTGAAAAGGAATGCACCGTACCCATTCTGGAACTTTGTGTGTGCATGTGTAGTACAGCAGTGAAGGACAGTCAGCCAAACCATGCTTAGTGATTTTTCTCTGCTTCATGCTGCTTTTTTAGGTCTTACTTCATCTTCTACCTGTGCCCTGTCTCCTGCTAATGATTCTGCAGACCCTAGAGTAAGACAAAACTCCAAACAGCGAGAGGAGGAGCTGGAGCTAATAGAGCAGCTACGTAAGGTAAGTGCTGCTGGGAGCCAGCATCTGGACATCTTAGTAAATTCATTGCATGCACCTTGCTAAAACTGTCCTTGTGTTTTGCAGCAATTTCACTGAACCAGTATGGTGCACAGTTGACCAAAATTAAATGGCATTGTACAGTCTGAGTGGTTCTTTCAGATGGATGCAGTGGTATTCACTTTGGGGTTTGTGGTGGATAAAGTCAGCTTCCTAATCTGTAAAATAAACTGTGCTGACTCCTGCTTCTGAGTGTCCAGTGATCTCTGCTTTTATTTGAATGCGTGCTTTCTTTCTTCCTTACCAGCCTTCACACATGTAAGGAACTCCCTGGAAAGTTGCCTCACTGTCTTCCTCTTAATCTCTTTTTTTAAGCTCCTCTTTGCTGTAAAGCCCTCAGGAAAGCAGATGGAGTGCAGAGACTATTGCCAGTTGTGCTGATGGCACGGCTTCCTTGTGTGCTCTGGATCCATCTATTGATTCTTGCCTTATCCTTAGTTAAGTGCAGAACATCTGAAGCACAAATACTCCTTACACTCCTGCTTTTTGTATGTTCAGGGCCACCACACTCCTGGCTTGTGCCCAGGTACAATGACAATACACATGAATATTGGAAATAAGGTACTGCTCTGCTTTGTCCCAGACTTGTTTCTGGAGAGCATGAAGAGATTCCCTGAGGTGCTGTAATTAATTGTTTAAACTTTCCCAAGAAATAAGAATTCCTGCTTGTTAAAGCAGATTTTTAAAAGCCATAAGCATCCCAGATGGACAGAGAGAATTCCTTTTCTTTGTAAATTTTAAAGGACAATCTCCTTTCTCTAAAAGGACAAAGTTATTTTAAATAAAACAAAACAAAACATGGTGCTGTTTGCAGAGCCTCTCTTTTGTTATCTCAGAATGCTTTGTATCTAGTCTGTCTCTTGTTCTGCTTCCCGGGTAAGCCTAAATGTTTGTAATACTAAAAAAAAACAGTTAAGATTCAACATAACAATTTAGTGAAATTCACACAGCATTTGAAATAATATTAAAAACCTGAATTGAATTTTTATTCATTCCCTTACACAAATGCTAACTACCTAATTTTTGTAAAACTCTTTATGCCAAGTAGTTCAGGTTTTTCTTCATAGGCAAAAATGTTGTCTTGATGTTTGTTAACTGGGGTGTCCTCCATCCCACAAAGACAATTATTTTCACTTCCCTTGGCTGAACCATTCTCTGAGAATATGTAGGACTAGGAATACTGTTTCTAGACCCTGATTTCCATTATTTTTGAATAATGGTTGTATTAGTCTCCTGTTTTCATTAGTACAATAGAAAATGTTCATCATTGAACTCAGTTGCTCCGAGATTGTGGTCAGCTCTGGGCCATAGCAGTGTGCAGAGCTTTCCTTGATGTTATTCAGAAAGCTGTTTGGAATCATCATGAGGATGGACAGAGAGTTGTAATGCAAGCATGCTGCCTCTTATGAAATACTCTGCAGAATGAAACAGTTGGAGGAAACCAGCTCTTACTTTTTGTGTGTCCGTGTTCATTTTTCTACAGAATATCGAATCCCGGTTGAAAGTGTCACTGCCCAGTGATCTTGGAGCAGCTCTCACCGATGGTGTTGTTCTGTGTCATTTAGCTAATCACGTGCGTCCCCGATCTGTTCCCAGCATTCATGTCCCTTCACCTGCTGTTGTAAGTATGTGATAATGATAATATTTTATCGATGTCCAAAATAACATCCAACAAAGTCTTGTAATCCAGACAAATGCTAAATTCAGCATTCTCCTCTGTGAACATACGTGACAAAAAATAACCATCTGTTCTGCCTAAGAAAGGTCTATAGTGTAATTAAAAGAAATTACATTTGGGTTTGTTTCATTTAAATGAAGTTACTTTTAATACAGATTGTAAGAAAATGTTAACATTTTCAAGTCCTCACTATGCTAACTTGAGAATTAGTGAAATAAGAGACAGTTCAGCATGAAAACTGAAATAGGATATTTGAAAAGATCAAAAGGTCCAAGAAGTTCAGGAAAACAGATAGTAGGGAAATACAATATTCTCTACAACGTTTAGGATCCCACTGCACAAGACAGCGAAAACAGAGAAGCCAAGCTGGTTCCTGTGTCCACTTTACAGCACTACAAATTTTCTGCTTAGGAATTTTAGCAGAGTACACTCGAGCTACTTGGAGAACAGCATCTCCTGGAACAAAACAAATCCAGTCATACTTTTGTGATAACAGGAAAAAAGGTGGTTGTATCTGGGGACTGTTCAGAGCAAGGAAGGAAGCACACAGAGAAGTTTGAAAATTTCTGAAGCTGTTTCTCTTAGCCTGCTTAACTGCAATGTTTCTGGAAAGCAATGAAGATGATCTGTTTCTGGGCGCATTACCATGTGTCATGTGGGGAAAGCACAGAATTGGAAAAAGGTCAAGAACTGGGAAATAATGATAGATTATTTACCTAATCAGTGTTTGTGGAAGTCAGACAGTTCAGTGAAAATATTTAAGGTCGACTACCTAAAAGTAGTACAGACAGGCAGATTGCTTGTTACGCACCTTTAAATTGTATGAATACAGAAAAAACCCTGAAGATTGTTCCTGGGGAAAGAAGTCGAAAAGTGCATGTTGTGTTTGCTTTCCCTTATTTTGGAGTCAGTCCTTGTGTTGGCTGGAATTTGAACTGGCACTTACAGAGCTGCCTACTCTAGCATTGTCATTCCTCTCTCTTGGACTTAATGTGAGCAAGCAGATGTCTTCGTTATTTTGAGAACGATTGAACTGGACACACCAACATTTTAGGCAGATTGTGGAATCATTAAGAGAAAAGGCATACAGCCACTATTCAGAAGACTTGCGTCATTGAGAATATCCTTTCAATGGCCTGGTTTTATGTGCTGTTGGTTATTCTATGTTAGGAATTAAATCATGGCTTTGTCATATAAAACCCAAGGAGGAGGCAGCCTTTAGCTGCATGGCTTCAGGAGCAGAAGAGGCATCATGTCATTCGTCAGTCACAATGTGATCTTTGTATTCCCTTCATCCTTCAGGAGAAAGAAGTCAGTGCTAGCCTTTACCCTGCCTTCTTGGTGGGGAGATATGGCACGTTGAGGGACAGAGGGAAAACCCCACCACTTACAGAAAAGTACTGAGCCCACAGAGGCCACTGCCTGCTGCTACATAGACTGTGGGTAGCTTGTTGAAAGGAGCAGGAAGCTTGTGTCTCTTTAACCAGAAAAGAGTAAGCTTCAGAAATAGAAACAAGACAGAGCCTGTGCGGTGATATGTCTGTCTAGAGGTGTGAAAGCTAACTGTAGAAAAAAGCTGGTTTGAAAAAATGCCAGTGAGTGCAATTCAAACAGCTACATCAAACTCATCTACAAGAGGCTTACAAGCAGCAAGCTTCAATTCCAGTTTTCTTCCATTGCTTTCTGGTTTCATCTAGCCTTCATGGTTTTTTATCTCTTTGCTAATCGAAATGTGGTTTGATTTTTTTTTTTTTTTTATTTTTTATTTTTTATTATTGTAGTAATCCAGAACAGACTCCAGATTGATTCATATCATGAAATTGCTCTGAAATCACAGCATGGAAGCCATGCATGTGTGTCTCATTCAAAATATATTTTTCTAAATTCTCATACTGTAGTCACTAATCCTGTTAGCCAGTTTTATATAACACCTTGTATATAAATACTGCACAACTTAGAATTGTCTTTTTTAAAAAACATCCAGCTTTCATTAATTAGCTTTTCATAAAATAGCTTTGAAATTTGGGCATGTTTTTCTAAAGAAAAGCAAACTTGAACAGAGCCTGCTTTGAATTAGACAAGCTTATGTCAGTGCAGTATGTTTTTGGCAAAGAGTTTTATTTAAATAAAAAATAAAGATCTTTTAAAATCCTGCCAATTAAGAACGTTGTATGCCTGCCTTCTTTACTTCTTTTCAGCCTAAACTTACAATGGCAAAATGCAGACGAAATGTGGAGAATTTCTTGGAAGCTTGCAGAAGGATTGGAGTGCCTCAGGTACGTATTTCTGCTATCCTGATATGATATTTCAGGTGCAGATGTGTATGATGCTTCAGAAAATAAAACCTTTGAAAGATTGGATGAAAACAAAATGATTAAAAGTTTGGAAGGTTCAGGTATAAGCTATGTCTTGCAGTATAGATCAGACTTATCTTGCATTGTCTTCCAGAGCAAAATTAAGTCAGATATTACAGGTCTGATTCACTTACTGCTGTGCCTCAAATTCTTAAGAGCTGATGCAGTTCAAGCCTGCCTGTAGAATTGCAAGGTATTTCTATAAAAACATTTATTACATACATGTAATAGAATTACATTTTCTGAAAATTAGATATTTGACAGCTTAAAAGTGGGATAAAATTTGGATGATGTTTTGCATGTGTTGTTTTATCCCAAAGCTTTTCATGTTCCTTCAGAATAATTCTCTTACATGAATGTCTTTACTGTCTTACCAACAAGTTGCAGTATTATTGGCCTTTCTCTGATGGTAGCTATCTTTGCATAGATCCTAATTCCTTTGTTATGTACCAGTGGTAGAAGTCTATCTTCTAGTATTCCTTGTCCCCTTTGAAACTTGGAAGATCTATGAGGTGGGAACATATAAAATAGTCCATCTGAGTCCAGTTATACTGTTTTATGCTGTCCTGTCCTTTCTACTTTGTCTTACTCAGCAGCTGTCTTACTACAAATAGTTTTGATGCATCACGTTTTTCTTAATTTTTCTTCTAGTGCATTAATTGATTGGTTTCTTAAACTGCTAAGCATTAGTGTTTCTGTTGTAGGTGCTGTTTTCTTTCTTTTGTATTGTGAAGGGGAAAAGTAAACTCAGTGACTCATTTCCGAGCTGTTTCTAAAAGCAATGTTCTCAGTCAGTCATGCAGTATTTTCTGGTGTTTTCAGATAGCTTCACTTGCAGGCATTTGAGCCATTGGGATTTTAGGATAGCATATTTATTGAGCTGCCTGGCAATTCCACATGCCTCAGTGGTGAATTGTGTTGGAACATGGTAGGGAGTTGTAAGTGATCTTTAGTACTTTGAGATCCTGCGCTATTTTGGACCCCTAAGAAACCAGACTTTTACTTCCAGCAGAACTGCACAATGTAAATTCATCAGGGGCAAAAGTGTTCAATTCCATCCCAGCTTCCCTACTTATAGCTCCCTCAAATGTAAAGCTGAAATTTTTATGGGATTGCAGTACAGAACAGATCACTGAAATGACCCACGTTTTAAAACACACAATCAAAAAAGCCACTCAGGAAGTTGTCCCCTATACACCCAGTCTGCTTCATCTGCTACACCTACTGTCTAGGACCCTCCTGTGTTTCTCATATTTCTTGCTTTAATGTGAAAGAGTTCAAGGAGAGTGTCCCTTGGGAAACTTACTGAAATACTCCCACTTGAACTCTAAAGTTGCTCTCACATGTCTACATTACATATCTACTGAGATGTGAAGGTAAGATACCTGTATGCAAGGATGGAGTGGCAGCCTAGCACATTTTTCTTGATGCCTGCAGGTATTTTCTTTCATTTACATTCTAATTTAAAAAAAAAAAAAAAAAAAAAAAAAGGCTCTCAAAGTACAGATCTGTGTAGAAATACTTACCTTCTAAGAGGAAGGCTACTTTCAGAAAATGCTAATTACAGGCACCACAGTGGAGCAGCTATTTCTATAGGACTTTGCTGGTTAAAGCCCTTGCATCAAAAGAAAGCGACAGTTGAACAGATTGATATGTGCATCTAGATTTCACTGATTTACAGCAGTTACCTGTGTGAAAGGGAGGGGAAGGATACACAGTGGGAAGAGGTACAGAACACTTAAACTCTAATTAGTAATAGATATTTCTGCAGGATACTGCATTCAAGCATCAGTTACACATAAATAATCCACTGTCCGACTGTTGCATTAGCTAAGATACGTGTGGAGACTTAGCTTTGGTGAGTACTCGGTGCCAGCGGCATCTTAGAAACCTGTAGCCTCTTCATTTCCCCTGGAGAAAAATGGTTTTCACTAAGGTGTGTGTAAACTGCTATGTTTTTAACAACAAAGGTGTACAGGTGACAGGCACCTCACTGAGCACTAAATATTTGCACTAGGTGAGTTCTTTGCAATGGGAGTCTTGCAGATTCCTTTGTGAGAATTAACCACCTGTGGTACACTTCTCAAACATGTAGGTTATATCTGAGATGTCTGACTGACTGCTTCGTGGATGTTGCTATGGCTAACTGACTGACCTTTTTTTTCTGTCTGTTTTCCCTTCCTGCTCACACACTCTGGACAGGACAATCTTTGTTCCCCTTCTGACATTCTTCAGCTAAACCTCAGCGTTAAACGAACAGTTGAGACTCTTCTTTCCCTGGGGACAGATTCGGAAGAACCCAGTCTTGTCTCCCTTTCCGTTCAGCTCTGGGGCTTTGTGGTGTTTTACTGTACTCTGATGCTAACGCTCTGTATGTTCTATCGCTGGGTTTTTTTTCTCTAGCTGAAGGGCAGTATTGCTGCTTCCTCCCTCCATCACTCCAGTGCTTGGGAAAGGATTTGGGGTTTTTGTCAAGACTGTGTGTATGAAGTGCTTTCTTTCCCACTCATGGGACAGAGGTGACAAGTACGATGTGTAAACACATTGGTGCACCCACATCACCATCTGTGACATAATTCACATTTGTATTTGCTGTGTCATATTTAGCAGATATAATGCTTTTAAGAGGGAGCACATGCTGTCTGTGGGCTAGAGCAAGGAATTGATGTTAGGGTCTGTGCTATAGTCTGCTGATGAGTGGTGTAGTGCTGGGAAAACTGCAGTGACAGTTTCTGCTTCAGTTTCCCCATCTGTATGACGGGAATTGTACCCACTTTGGTAAATTGCTTCAGGATTATCTGATGAAAAATGTTAAGGAATGTGAAGTATTTTTTTCAACATCGGTGTTCTTGATTAGATCTCACAGTCTTAGGAGACATGGTCTGGTAAATTTTGTCCACGGGACTTTGTAACTGATATTTTTTTTCTTACCCCTTGTCCCTTATCTTGCATCTGAAAGCATTTCTGTTCTCGTATTTGTAGACTCTGGTCTATTGCTTTGAGTCGGGATTTTTAAAGTAACTCTTAAGTAAATCCTGAGCTTCATAACAGATCAAGCAGGAAATTTTCATAAAATTGAGCTCTTCATCAACTTTGAGAGAAACATTTTCTGGCACAGAAGGAAAAATCTTTAAGGTTCTATCAGATGACACAGAATGTTACAGCATTTTACTGTCTTCTGGGTAACACTTAACAAAAACTGCTTGAGTTGCCACTTGATGGTGGGCACCCCAACCTGTGCTTATTTCATGCTTATCCCCTTCTTCCTCTCATCCTGTCATTTTCAGAAACCTTTGTATCACACAGTTGCAGAAATAAAAGCCCCAGCTGCATGATCACTGTTTTACAAAACTCAGGTAGTCTTCCGTAAAGCTTCAAAGCTTTTCCCTCCCCAGGAAAAGCATCCTGGTGCTTTAATGCTTTAATGTCTCAGGGACACCTCAGAACTTCAGGGCACTCCCCATGTGATGTGCAAAAGACCATGTCTCCTCAGAGTGTAGACTGATTCAGGGAACTCTGCTCAGAGACCAGTGACAGGTAAGTATTAAGTAAAATGGCTGTTCCAAATGTGTTTTCAATAAATTTCTGTTACATCTGAAATTACAGTAAATGGCTTGTAAGCCCAGTTTAAGTGGTGTTAGCATTCCAACGTTAACCTGGCAACAACTCTGAAGCACAGTTTAAGACACACAGGAGTTTAGTTGCAAATGTGGTTGCTACCAGTAAAAACGTGTTATGTATACATGGATCTCACAAGCTCTTGTAACAGAAAATATTTAACAAAGGAGCAAGTAGAGAAGTTGATGCCCTCTTTCCAAATCACACAGTGCTCTGTCCAAGCAAAACATTGTTGAGGAAAGAGGGGACCTTTGACAGGGGGAGATTGTTTTATTTTTAAATAAGCTATTTTTGCACTGCTTACTGGTATGAACTAAAATGAACTCAGTTCCTATGTTTCTTAACTTCTTCTAATGAACACTGTGATAAAAGCTGCAAGGGGTTTTACACTAACAGTGCCTTCCAGTTTTTAAATTTTGTTTGTCATGACTGTCTGTGGTATGAATTCATTCCAAAGCTTTTCCCCTTATCTATTTGCCTACATAAGAAAAAAGATGAGGCATATTTGCTCAAGTTTACAGGTATTTTCTCAAAAAGCACGCTTTTTTTCAAAATAACATAAATTTGCTGGAAGAAAAGTGTATTTCAGCCTGATCATATGGCTTACTGTGAGAATTTCAGTCTGGGTTCATTTGTTTTCTCTCCGCTCTGAGCTTTGCGGGGGGAGTGTTGGCTGCCACTGTTTATGCTGAAGGATTTCTTTAACATCAAAAATCAGTAGATCAAGGAGTGGAGAAATGCAGGTTGCTGCGGAAAGAACACGTGAAAAATAATCTCTGTAGCTCTATAGGAAGGACACACTTCGGTTATTTCCTAGTTGGACATGTATCCTGACTGTTGTGGAGTGAGGATGGCCAGGATGTGCCCAGGACTTACGTAGGATGAGGTTTTAAATTCATCTTAGACTGAGAATAGCACAATTATTAATAAACACTTTGAAACCTCTTTTTGCATTTTGCGTATTACTCCTATTGCGTAGAATGATTTGGGAGGTAACCTGCTAAGCGGGTGTACTTCTGGAAGATAAGTGGTAGTGACTCACACATAACATAGGGTGGATATTTGCCTGTAAATATACTATCAGTTTCTCATTGCCTTGAACAGGAGAAATGGCATTTTCTACATTTATGATCAAGGTTATTTCAGTCATACATAGAAGCAGGTTTTTTTATTTTCTGGTTTGTTTGTTGGTTTGTTTTTTTTTTTAATCCTTTCTTCCATAAAACAACTTGTACTTTCCAAAGAATTTTTGTAACAGTATTGATCAGCACATAGGTACAAACAGAAGGACTTCAGACAGGCAGTGTGTCTCGTGAGATGAGAATTGCTGCGAAGTATGACATTCCCTCTTAGACCTATTCCACAGTGTTTCCACAGCACACACTGGTATTTCACTCTCTGCTTTAAAGCAGGTCTTTCCTCACGTTTGATAGTGAAACAGGCTTGCTGCATGAGGGCTCCCTCCAAAAGGCAGTTGTGCTGTGGAAAGGAAGCCATGGTTGCTTTCCTGTTTTGTCTTGTAGCAGGTTCATCGTGTGGAAGAAAACCTTTCCTCCTCCTTCAGTTCATCTACTTTTGGTTTCATAAACTGCTGCCGTTTCAGTATGGACAGAGAGACAGGACAATTTGCTATACCCCATTTCTCCCACAGTCCTGTTTCAAATTCTTACTTGTACAATTTTCTAATAAATACAAGGATTACCCCAAGGCCTCCTCCTTTGAGTAGTCACATTCACGGTTCTTTAGTCACTAGCAGAAATTTCATTTCATACTTGTGTGTGTGCTAGCTGTCCATAACATTTCATATTTCAGTCACCTTTTGCTTAATTTTTTTTTTTCTTTTCAGTTGAGTGTTTTTCATCCATTTTGTTTTTGTCTTTGTTTTGTTCCCCATTCAGGAGCAATTATGCTTGCCTCTACATATTTTAGAAGAGAAGGGTTTGACACAGGTAGCTGTGACTGTCCAGGCGCTCCTGGAGCTGGCACCCCCAAAGCAGCAGCAACTTCACCACTTGTCTGCTGTGTAAAGACCTCCAGGACCTTTTGGGTTACCTTGGCTAAGCAGAAGGACGTGAAGACTTTACTGCCCATGCAGTGCATCCAAACACACAGAGCTCTGTTCTAAGGAAATGAGTTTCCGTGATTCCTGACAGGAATGTTTTACTTCATTTCTCCATTTTTTTGGAGAACACAACAGTTTCCAGTAACATTTTTATTATCAATATTTTTGCCCCTTATTTAAAAGAAAAGAGTTCACGGGGAGGAGGGCAGGGAATGCCAGTGGCTGGCTGTTGGAGCCAGCTGTACAAACTGACCTTGTAGACTGGAGATACACATGGGTGTAGAGTTTGGAAAGCAATTCCTAGGGGAATTCGTTTGTAAAAAAAAAGGATGTTGCTGCAGTGGGCACATGGGGAATGAAATTTCTTTCCTTCCCAGCAGGGTTCAAAGAAAGGGAATTTCTTTGCCTCCAAAGAACAACAGCTATTTCTATTATATATAAAAAAAAATTGCAACACACAATCTTAACCTGCCGTGTTTGACAACAGGGTCAAACCTCATGCAGCTGTAAATTGCGTTGGCATGTCCTCCTTTCTTAAAATTTGAAGGGAAAAAAAAGTTGTTTGTTTTCTTTTTTTCCCTCAAGGGAAAAAATACTGCATGTTTTCTCCACAAGAAACATCTTAGTAGAAGATACTAAACCAGAACTATTCAAACTGTATTAATCACATCAGCATTCTTGCTGGGTTCACTTTATGTTTGTGTTTTAACATGTCTGTAGCTGAACATTTTTCCAACATCAGTGGAGGGAGATCTCTTAAATCCTCTCACCTCCCCTTCTGGTCATGTAGAGTTGGTTACTCAGTGGCTTTGTCAAATGATGACCAGATGTCATCAGGAACCACGTATGTATTTCCACTGCAGTGTGAAGAATTACAGCCTGCCATGCTAGAAACCCATTATCAAACAATATGTTTGGTAGGGGCTGAAGCATCCTATGCAGACCGGCCAACACTGGTGAGTGTCTCAGCCACTGAGAAATTTATCATTGTAAGAACACAATTACTGAATTTCCATAGGTGGGCTGCATACTGCCAAAGCAGGAATGTGTTGCAACACACAGCTTCTATTTGTAGGTTTAACAAGGCTTGAATAAATAAAGCCTTTTATCATTGGAATTTATGTGGAGATGCACTGGTTTTACAGAACTGCCGTTAACATAAAAATGGAAATTCAATATACAGGAAGAGGAGAGGCAGCCGACAAGTTTTTTATTTTGCTGGAAAATTGACCTGCAAAACAAAGACTGGCTCTGTGTGCTCTGGTCCTAGCGATGAGGCCAAGCTCATTACCAGATCAGTTACAGTAATTTATTTTTTTTCCCAAAAAAAGACCTTGCAAAATCAAGTTTTCCACCCATGCAGTTCCTTTGTTAGATTTTGGCCAATTTAAAGCATCCCAGAGTGTTATGCTACTAATCCACGGTGCGTGGGGTCTGAGACCAACTTCAGGCATCGGCGGTATTGCACCTGGGAATATATTTGAAGCAGGATGCACCAAGAGAATTTCACGGGGATAAAGGAAGGAGAAAAAAATGGGAACAGGCTAGCTAAAAGTAAGTTTTGTTGAAGTAAACCTGCCATGGGAACACTGGCAAGGACTGGTCTTGGCTGGACTTTTTCCCTTTTTGATTTGCAGTTTTGTTTCCGCTCTGCTTTGCGTCATGTATTTCCTTCAAGGTCCATTGTGGTGACTGTTGAATTCCTTATTTCGCACAATTATTCCAGTTGCTTCTTATTGGCATTGGCTGATCTCGTTGCAAGTGGAGAACACCACCTGAAGGGTATCTAAAACTGCACAGCTGAAAGAGAAACCTTTTCCTACTGGCTAGGCACGTTGCCCTGAGCCCTGCAAGAAATGAAAATGCCAATAACTTGCAGTACACGGAGGAAGAGAGCAGCTCTGTGCAGACATACTTCCCTCCTTAAGCAGGTCTTGTGCTTGCAAGGAGTGTTGGTAGTTCTTAAAGGATTACATGGAAGTGTCTGAAGTCTCTGCTGTAGTTTGCTGAGTGGAAGATTCTGCCACTCACAGCCAACAGTACAGACCGCAAATGTTTCTTGTACGTTTGTCTCTGCGCATAATTTGAAAGAGGGGGGCACTGACTTTCACTTAGTTTCCAACATTAGGTCACTTGTACGGTTACAGGGGCACGTTACCTTTTTAATAGCACACCCTTTGTGGACTATTTGAATATTCCCATTTCAAGAAAACCCTTCCCTTCCTGGAATGGTGAGGGTGTGGTGTTTGTTCCAGTCCAGCTTCCAGCACTTAAGGAAAAATGAAACTTAACAGTATTCAGGTTGGCGGAAGTTTGACATTTCATTAATACGAGTTTTTAGGAATTAATGGGGTGGGGGGTTGAGCCTGAACTGCCAGAAATGGCCATTTCCTATCGCGTCTGGTTAACACGGCGTACGCACGGGTTGGGGGCTGGGCAGGCGCTGCCTCCCCGCTATCACTGTGTCGTAGGCGACGCTTCACTCGCAGTTTCAGGGTATGTGGTCATGTTAGTTTGACGTTTATAATCCTGTGTTTTCGTGCTGGCAAACACTAAATCTTGACCAGGTGTTTAGAGCAAAAATCCAAACCTGGAGTTTCATCATACGGTTTATTTAATGTGCGTTGTACCACAACCAACTTCAGTTCTGTTTTGCAAAATGGGTTGGGATTTTTCGGTGTATTTATGTGCAATTTTTGTTGTATCCCGTGAAAAGAATATTTTAAAGAAAGCGTGTATAGAATTCTGGTTTGTGTGCTAAAGCAAAGAGGCAATTGTCTTTCCTCTCTGGGGCATTTGTGTTGGAGGACGTGGGAGGAATCCACCCGAGCATCCCCCGCTTGCCGGTGTTTATACACCGACCCCGTTGGGTCACCATCCATCCCCAGCCTGGGCCGGGCACCGAGCAGCGTTTGAGGCTCAGCAGGGTGGGGCAGCACGGGCACTCGGGGGGGGGGGGGGGGTGTCCCCGACAGCGGTTGGGGCAAAACAGCCGGGGTTTGGGTCTTCCCCCTGTGAAGGGGGTGGCTTTCGTAAAGGCCCCCACCTCTGCAACCTGCGTGAAGTAAATCAGAGAGAACTTTTTCCAGCACCGAGAATACCTCTGTTGTTCTTGGTAGTGACACGATGGCAAATGGTATTTTTACCCTTTTATGACTATATATGGTTCTTTGAAAAAATGTTTTAGAAACAGAGGACTTCTAAGGGGAATTTGGACATCTCCAAAATTCTTTTGTATAGATACTGTGGTGTTTTACAAAGCGATCTAATTTTGTTATTTCTGAAAACAGTGTAAACGTGTAATTAATAGAGTAAAGGATTTTAAAGCTTCATCCCACGCTGTATGTCTGTAAATACATTCCATAATTTCTAAGTCTGTTGTTACATATAAATGTGTCTGAATATTGTATACTTTATTTTAAATTGCCTGTATTCTGCCAGTAGTGTGAACTTCTAGCACATTGATAATATAAAAGGAAACCATGGGTAATTTGAAATAAAGTTTTAAAACTTACATGAATTACAGTATTCTTCCTGCTGTTTTTCTGTTGCAGCAATGAATGTCACATCTGTGTCGGGTCTTTGTTCTCCTTCCGCATGGTCACAGTTGGCACTTAATGGACCTGGTTTGTTTCTCTAGTTTTCATCGTTAACCAGGATAGAAAAATTCCAGCGTTTCTACAGACATTTTAGAGCCACATCAGAAGCAGTTCGCTGCTGCCAGTCCTGGTGCTCCTTGCTGTTCTTGTCTTTTGCTTGGGTTTGATTTGTAAAACTTGCACATTTGCTTCCTGCCTCCACAGCACTTGAAAGGTTTGTTCTTACTAGCCAAACTGTTTACTACTTTTTTTTTTTTTCCCTCGCAGAGCTAACTTTTATTATTAAAAAAAATAATAATAAAGCAAGGTCTACAAACTGCCCAAGATCCACAAACCCCCCCCACACTTCACACGCTGTGTGAGCCAGGGAGCTGCTCCCTGCTCGCCGGGCTGCCTCAGCGTCCTTTGCTGACCCCGTGGGGGCTGCATAAGGCACTTGGGCCAACTGCGTTCCTGCCTCTGCCGGGGCTGCCCAGCTCTCCCCGCGTGTGCCTTTCCCCCCCTCTGCCTAAAGCCTCCTCCTCACCAGATTCTCAGTCTCCAGCCTTTCTTCTCCATTTACCTCCCTGGAAACCAGTTTCTCCAAAGGGCTTTTGATTTCTGGTTTTCCCTGCAGAAAACACCGTGGACGTGCACTTCGACTCCATCTCTCCGTGGCTGCAAATAAAGAGCCGTGCCAACCTTGGCACCGTTCCTCAGAACTCCCGGGTTTCGGGACCCTGCTCTCCGCTCCCATCCCCGGGTGCCCGGTCACTTGGCGGCTCCGCAGCCCCGGGGACCGAAGTCCCCGGTGGGTTGTGGCCCTGGGGAGGGGAGCGGCGCCGCCGGGACGGGCTGGCGCAGCGGAGGGGCCGGGGGAGCGGGCGGGTGGGTGGCGGCGGGGCCGCCGTAAGCTCCCGGGGCTTTGGGTCACGTTAAAAACCTTTGTCCCCCACTGCGCCATCGCCCAGCGGCCGGGACACTCGCCTTGGGAGTCTCTGAGAAATTTCAGCACTCGCCCACCTTACTGGACTAGCACACCCACTTCTACCGCCGCTTTGTTATTCTATCATTTTTGAAAGGAAAAGTACCTTTTCCCCTCTACGTGCAGACACAGAGCTTCCTAATTTTGGGAACATACTGCTGCGCCCATGCAATTTACGGGTTTGCGCTTGCTTGGTGGTTTTTTATTTGAGATACCAGTCACCAAAATGGAAGTTTTGAATTATTTCACAATCCAGTGCAGTGTGTTAACTTCGTACTGGCTTGTTCACCACGGCTCCAGGGACTTGATGTAACATAAAAACAAGTGCTGTTACACTGGCGTCAGGAGCTGGCGCTTGAAGGGGAGCCCAGGCTTAGGCAGAATCCCTGGATGAGGAGGACTTTTCAGATTTATGTTGTATTTTGTTCTCTGCTGAAAAGCCAGCAAGGCCCAGCTGATGCCGTGTTTCAGATTTCAGTTGTTTGGCTGTATTACTAATGTCTGCCTCGAGTTTGATGTAAACAGCAGAGATCTACTGCCCCTCACTTTTTCCTTAGCTCGAAACCTCTGAAGATTTTATGATCAAACTTCATTCCCTCCGCCTGAACAGGTCACCTGGTAACACTCACCCCATAAGGAAAATGCTACTCCTAAATGAAACGTGCAGAGTCAGTAGCACGGAAAAAAAGAAGTTAGGATTAGGCACATCACTCCCGTGGTCGCTCTGCAGTGCCTCCTGCCGCCATCGGCCCGGAGCGATCCCTGTTCCTGCCGCCGCGTGGGGACCGTGGAAAGCGCGGGGCCGTGGGCTCGGCTTCGGTACGGGATCGCCTTCTGGTTTCCAGCAAGTGGTGGTACTCCAGGGGTAACCCCTGTACTTCTAACGCAACCTTGCCTGGAGCGTCTGAAATTGAAGCGCTCCCCTGACAGGCGGCTCTGCCTGGGAGCCAGGCACCAGCCCCTCTCCTCCCACTCAGAATTCGGAGCCAAAGCCTCTCTGCGATTTCAGCCCTCTCGCTTGAACTTTAGAGCTTTTGGCAGAGTTCAGCTCGGACACGAGGACGTTTGGATGGGGCCGGCGCGGGCTGGTCACAAAGAGCACAGCAGGCTTTGCGTGGCTGGAGCTCACCCTCCTGCGTGGGAGTGTCAGAAAGCAGCCAGCTCAACCGCAGGGCTAATTTTGCTTTGTGCACAGACCTGCATGCGATTGACAGTCCTGTCAGGAGATAAAGGCTCCCCTCTTGGTTAAAAAAGCAGGGTGCTGCCCCCCAAAGCTTCGCTCCCTGCCTGCTGCCTGGTCTCACAGCGCAGAGACGCCGGCCCGGGCGGTGGGTACGGCTGGGGCAGACCCACCCCTGGAGGCAGCGCGGCCGGCTGTCTTTCCCTCGTTCCTTCCCTCGGTCGGAAGGTATTTGGAGCTATTCCGTCCATGCGCTGACATTTTGCAGGACTGTGGGAATGGAAACCTGCGTGCTTGGGCTGCCCTTGTGTTTACACTGCAAGCCGCCAGCAGTTTTCCCCCCGACGCCCAAATGCGGGCGCAGGGCCGGGAGAGCGCCGCTTCAGCCCGGCTATGGGTGACGGGGCCTCCCTGCCCCAGTGCCCCAGCACCAGCAGCGCCGCAGCCACGGCCCGTGCTTTGGGGTCTGCAGAGGAGGCTCTCGGTGCAGAGCGTCCCGTGCAGGTGAGTTACCGGGCTGTTAATTGCCTCCCGCCAGCTGTCATGCTTCCGTAAAGCACTTTGGGGGATACAGCGTTTGTCGCTGCTTTGATGCACGCCTCCTTTCAGGTGGAGAAACTGTGTCTCAGCTGTACAAGGGCACTTTCAAGATCTTAAGAGTTCCTGTAGCTTCACCTCACCTGTGCCTGTCGTGAACTGTGTTCTCTAGAACAGCCCGAGCTCTGTTAACATAGTTTATTTTCTCCTGTCAGACAGACAGGCGGCAGCGCCCTGCCCGGCAGCAGCCCTGGAACATGTCTGTGGCCACCTTCTTTACTTATCGTGTCTTTTTCTTTGCTCCAGATTTTTCATTTTTCCCTTTCTGCTTTTTCTCCCGAATCTTCCTGAGGGCCTGGTAGGGGCCAAGGTTTCTGCGGACCATTGTACCTTTCCACCAGGCTTGCAGCTAGAACCAAAAGAGAGAGAGAGCTCTTCAGGGAAATCACTTGCTGGGGTACCTGGTGCAGCTCAATGGCCAGAGAGTCTTGGCCGCAGGAGGGATCCTCGGCCCACGCAGCAGCAGCTGGGCCTCTGCTGGTCATGCCGAAGATGCCCACATCTGGGCTGAGGGCTGCTGTTGCTGGTGGCAAGGGGACAGGCAGGGGAACAGCCCCAAGACCCTCCCTCTATCGCCCAGGCTGGGGGGCTGGTGCGATGGGCACAGCCCCAGATGGTTCGAGGAGGGTGGCTTCTCCCCTTCCGCTCCCTGCTCAAACCTGCAGCTAGCTGCTGGCTTTGTGCCTGCCCAGGTAGAAAGGGACAGGTTTTTTTCTGTCCTTTGTGCCACCCCACACCAGCCAGCTTTCTTGGGCTATTTTCTGCCTGAACCAAGCCTGTGGCACAAATTATTAACTCCCAGCTCCCAGCTGCACTGCCTCATCTTTGCGCCCCTTTACCTTCAGGATGCTCTTCAGCTCCAGGGCATCCCGCTCTAGTTGTGTTCTTTTAGCCTTCTTTTCTGCTCGGTCACTGATGATGGTTTCCTCGAACATCTGGCACTGCAAGAGAGCGCAGGGGTGGCAACAGCCACATGAAAAACACATTCCCCAAAGGGCAGGGCTCACCTGGTGCAAGGAGTCTTCTCCTCTGGCTGCCTATCGGTCTCATCCCCTCTACCTGTTTTTCACAGCCCAGCCGGGGCTGCTCCAGCCCGTGGGTCGCAGTGCGAGTCCCCTCGCTGGGCACCAAGGAGCTCCCCAGCAGCCCAAGGGTAATGTGTAAGCACGGACCTTCCTCCCCCACCTCCTTTATTTGATCTTTCCTGAATCCAGATGGCAAATGTTGCTCATTACCACCGTCAGTCGTAAGGCACCGAGAGCTGCTACCTAAGTGAAATCTCTCACGGCCTGGGTGTAATTAACCCTCTGATCCTGTGCTGTAGAATGGCTGTCTGATGGTGTCTCAGGCAACAGATGGTGGTAGGAAGGACCTGTGTTCCCCCAGGCTAGGCAGCAGATGATGTACAAACACACTTGGGACACTGAGATGACAATGTACACAGTGAAAAATGAGCCCACAAGCAGGGAAACATCTAACTCAGTCCCATCGTCTCAGACCCAGTGACAGTAAGGAGTGATCGCAAGTTAATTCTTTCTGGCTTTAAAACACCCCTTTTTCTAGATGCTTCTCTTTGCCCTGTGCCACCTGTTCCACTGTGCCTGCATGGTTGTGATCAGAGCCCGGCAGTCAACCAAGAAACCGATGTGGAGCAGGAATGGTTTTAACCAGAATCAGTTCCCTTAGAGCACTGTGCAGCTCTGCAGGAAGGGATGAGCTGCCTTCGCCAGTCTCGCCCCAGTGTTGCTAGAAGGAGCAGATTTGTTGAGACTAAGGCAGCAAACTAAGGCGAGGCACACTGATGGGATGGGACAGTGTCCTCACCTCTCACAAAAGCTGTCAGTAGCTCCCAGATTACTTGCTGGTATTTGAAAATAGCTGTAGGGGAAACATCATCATCCCTCCTTGATCTCACAGGTGGCAAATAGATGATGACTACTCAGTCCCTGCCTTCCCAGGACCAGTGCTTGTAACTACACCCTACGCCTCAAGTTTACTGATTTTTTATTTTTTTTTTCCCATAGTCCTGGTTCCATATCTGATTGAAGGCAGGAAAAAGCCAGGATGCAGTTTTGCATGGCTGAGCACTGAAATGCTGCCGATGTCTTACCTCCTCGGCCAGTCTCTGCAGCATTTCCAAGTTGTTTGCCTTTGATGCTTTTAGGGCATCCAGTTCTTTCTCTTTAGCCTCTGTGTCATTTTCATACTTGTCCATCCAGAATTCCAGCTTCTCTTCCACCTTCTGCATGGGGATACAGTGATGCTCAGCATGGTACAGAGTGTACAGGGGAAAGGGTTGGTGCTATTACGTGGCCTGCTGTCGGGATGGTGGTAAGAGTCCTGTAAATTATGCATGGTCGGTGTTTCCTTCTCATCTTTAAAGGGTCAGACCTCTGAGACTAGTGATAAATTACTGGTGGCCTGCAGGCCCCTCGCTGGGGGTTAGCCACAGAAGCCGCAGCACTGGACTGGGGTTGAAGAGAGACTAGGTTGGGCTTTCAGAGGTGCATGAAGAATGGAGAAGCACTGCGAGTTAGTTTTGTGCACAGTCAATCCTGGGGAAGTGAGAACCAGAAGCCATTCTTTGTGTGTATACAGAGGGAGGCGGGGGGTTAAGAAACAGAATTTGCCAGTGAGAAAGCTTTTATCCCCTGCCTGACTCCCTACGTGCTTTCTGGATTAAGCTCAGCACACCAGGAATAAGGGGACAGCGCTTCATGCTATTTCAGGTTGTGAACTTGGCTTTGTCTCACTCCTGAATAGGGGGGCAGGTGTTGCTCAAACAGTCACCCAGATGACTTCCTCCCATTCACAAATAACTTCTCCATAGCAACAACCATGATTGCTTGCATGGAAAAATAATCTGAGGAAAAGCATCGATCTCATTACGGCATCACAGCTGGACACACAAGGGAGATGGGGGGCATGGTCATCCTCTTCTCTGTGGGCCCCTGTAAAGCCACCAGCTGCTGTCTGAGTGCAGAGGGGCTTGTACTTCGACTTCAAGGAGAGGTCAAATAGGCTGCAGCTTATACTTGGAAAGTCCCCTCACTACGAAGCTTTGATCAGACTAAGGCTCTGGGGTATAGAGGACACTATTTAATTGCTTACAAGATTCAGCACATTTTTGCACACAAATTACATTTTAAAAATATATTATCTTCTGCTAAATCTTGTACTGGTAGTGATGTTAGGTACCCAGCAGTACAGGTACGGTTCCAGTCATGCGGTTTACAAGATGCTTTCCAGTGTTACTCACTGTAATGGGCACCGCTGTTGATGCTGGAAAGCTCAGAACCTCTAAATCAACAGCACAAGGACATTCATGTCTGTCTGCTGCTGAAAATGAGTACAATAATTGTGAGTTAGCAATTATCCAATCCTGTTCCTTCCTCAGATTAGGATAAAACAAAACTGGGCTGGCAGTTTGTGTCATTTCCTTCTTGGTGCCTCCTGTGTGCAACACTTGGGTCTATGAAACCATTGCCCTCGCTTTGTGCAGCAGCACCCTTCACTGAGTCGCTGAATAAAATTCCAGTTAGCTGAATACAACTATCTGAGGGAGGAAAAATCCCTAACACCTGAATAAACAATGCCAATCATTACATGAACTCTAATTTTAAGGAAATGTATCCAAGTGTAGCAAATCTCAAATCTGGGAGAGCTGGATTAATTAAGACTTGAGGATAAGTAGTCATTCAAACAGCAGCAACCATGAATCTGGTAAATTTGATGGAGCAGTAACTGGTTTTCTTTAGGCATTGATTGATGATATAATGTTTATCAGTTGCTATTTTAAGCATTAGTAGACAGTCACACATACCTTATGGTGTTGCCTGAGGAAATTTTCAATCTCCATGTGGACTCGAATCTCCTCATCAGTTTGGCTCTTCAACTTCTGTGATCATGAGAAAACATGATCATGAGAAAACATGAGAGACAATGTTAGTGCATACGTGAGTGCACACACGTGCTGCTGAAAGCTGAGCTGGTGAGAAAGTGCAGGAGCTCTCTGTGCAGTCCACAGACATTTTTCCCAGTGACAAAATTAACCGAGGCTGCCCTTGCCCCTGAGCCATCCACGAAAAAGGGACAGCTAGATCAGACCTTGATCAGTCAAAAAAGCAGCTTGCAAAAACAGAAGAGTCTTCTAGTCCAGTTTACCTTATGGCCACACAAACAGCCCTATCAGCAGAACGTGCTGTGGGCAACGCTGGGAGCTCAGGCTGCTTTTGTTGCTAAATAGCCTTGTAACTACACCCTTTGGACATAGTTATGGGTCTGTTTCTCTGATGATGGTATCAGTTTAAGCAGTCCCTGCCTCCAGCCACTGTCTCCTGCAGCCATGACATCTGCGCTGCGCTGTGGCTGTTTGCAGGACCGTACAGAGGAGCCATGGAACAAAGATTTCTAACCTGGTTGAGTTTCCTGATCCCGTTCTAACAGCTGTGTTGGTGACTGTGATGGAGAACAGAAGGGGCATCTGGGGAAAGTGGGAAGACTCTTTCCTTACTAGATGGAGATGCCTTCCAGTAGGGGCCGTGAGGAAGGGTTTACCTGAATTTCCTCTTCTAGGACATTCTCTGCATTGCTGCACTTCTGGGTTTGGTGGACCTGGAGGTCTGTGCTTTTCTTCATGTAGCAGCTCTCCATGTTTGTTTTGGCCTTCATCTCTTGAAGCTCATCTTTGAGGTAGACAATCACATTATCTCGGTTCTAGTGGAGGAGACAGAAGCACAAAAGTAACCCTGGAGACTGAGGTCAGATCACTGTTCCTTAATCTCTCCGCTCCCTGATAAAGTCAGAAGAGATCGGTCTATAGGCTTCACACTTTCCCTGAATGTTGCCCCATTTCAGTCTCTACTTCAAAGGGAAGTTTTATTTGTAACTCATACAGAAGGCAATAAACCCATCAGTGAGGAGTGATTACCTCTGCAGAGGGGTAGAGTCACAAACAGAGTGGGACAAGAAGCCAGGCCTTCTCATCTCTTTGTCCAGGAATGGATTCAGTCTTGCTTATTATAAGCATGAAAGAAGCCAAATAATTTCAACTGCTTAAAGTTAGGCTTTACTAACCTCTTGGATTAGGCCATCTCAGTGAGCGAGCATCTGTAAGAGGACAAGGCCTCAGCCCCACATATGTCAAAATTTGATTTCCTAAAGTCTACTCTATTCCTTGGATTATTTTTTTTTTCTCAGTTATGCAACAACTGTATAAACACAACTTTAGGAACAGGTGAAAATCTAATCTTGTCTCACTCATACATTTAAACAGTTCTTTCTTGAAATCTTACCAGGTAGATCGTGCCCACTTTGTTATGAAAGCATACACCCAGGGCGAGGAAGTGTCAAGGAAAAGCTGGCTGTGAGCTCCCAGCCTCTCCCAGTTTTGCAGTGGAGCTGAGCTTTCCTGGGGGGATTCTGACCCCAAGTGCTCCCCCACGAGCAAGAATCCTGAGCCAGCATGCCCAGTTTGTCCAGCTTTTGGATGGTGCTCAAGAAGTAAAGTGCATTTGCTTGATTTGAGATTGTTTTGCTTACTCCTTTTAATGAATTTCTTTGAGTAACAAATTAAAGTTCATTAATATGGAGTTGGAGCTTGGAAGAACTGCCCATAAAGAGAAAAACTCTAGACTTTTTTATCAAGAGTTAAAAAGGTCATCGGTCTCTTGTGCAATTATGCAAGATCAATCTTACTGCCTCTGGTTTGGTGCCCGATTGCTCCATTACAGCCTTTCTCTTTGCTTTCCTGGCATGCTATGATGGGTTTGACATTCATTAGCCAAACCTCGCAGCTGAAGATGAAATACCAAAGTTCTGGCATTTAAATGATTTGAAGCCCACATATCTTGTCTCTCAAGCACCCTCACATTCCTTAGCTGTGTAAACATGGAAAAATGCCACAGGAAGAAGCTAGCTCAATAGTGCTGTGTTTAAAAGCCTCTGCAGCATGACTCATTTGGAAAAGGTTTCCTTATAAGAAGAGTTTGGAACAGTTAAAAGGAAAATCCTTCCCTCTGCACCTCTTGTCAGACATGGTTAGGAAGAGTAAAGTACATTTGTAAGGCCCAGGACAATGAGGGGCCTTGGCCGAAGCTGTTTTGTGGGTTTAAAAGTCACGCGTTCACATTTTTTTGAAGGTTTCCAACCTCAGATGCTGTTTTATGGCCATATCATCATATGACTGCAGACAGCTACAGACATGACCTATTTGTGCCCTGTTCAGGTTTATGGTAACGGCCTTTATTTTCCCTGGTATGAAATTTTGGTGGGCATTGGGAGGGGAAGGATTGTGTTCCTCATCAGCAGACATGGAAGGTGACTGTACCACTTGATTTTGAGATTGTCTTCCTGTGTCATAGTGGAATCATGTCTAAATTGAGCAGCTAGCAGAGAGACTGGGGAGATGCTAATGAACAACACTGATTTTATTGTGGTGCTGAGGCTCAGCAAAGCCAGGTGCTGCTGTTGTCAGTGTGTTACTGCTATCTGCTAAGGATCTGCAAACAGGACCAGCCTAGTTGACAAAGTACTAAGGTATTAGAGAGGCGGGGCAGAGCATGAACACTTCACCAAGTTATTTTCTTTTTCATTTCATATTTTAATAAAGCAGAGGAAAAGGTGCTTTTGATTGCAGCGCCCCAGGCCTCAGCCGGGATGGGGGGCCCATCTGCTGTGTTTGTTTTCTTTATTGTATGGCATGTTTGTGGTTTGGATTTGGTCTGTGGTGGTGTAAAACATCTTCGTTAGAAGTGGGGGAGTCTGAGGGCTTGGTTCCACAATCTAAAGCAGATGGGAAGCAAAATGCAAAACCCCAGGGGGAGTTTACAGCAACGCATTTGCTTGGAGAGGGAAAGTGGGCTGCAGGCATGTGGGCAGCTACTGCAGCCCAGCCGATGCACCTGGCGCTGTGGAGCTGGGGCACATTTGGTATTAGGTTGCAGGGAGTAAATGCAGCACTAAATGCCCACAAGCTGCAGGCACCATCTGTAGAGTATGACGTTCCCTCAACTTCAGGGACAGGCACTGGGAAAATGAGTTAATATTTATTCATTCTGGTTTATCTTAGCAAAGGTCCCAGCCAGGACACGGAGCGCTTTCATAGTTAATGCAGTAAACCTCTCAGCTGCTTGTTTGGGATTCTGCATCGAATCTGCCAAACCAAAGATGCAAAATCATACCTTGTGTGTCCAAAACTATCACAAAACTGGCAAAGACCAAGATCAAAACCCAGCAAATAGTTGTCAGGAGCCAGTCTGCTTCACAAGCAGGTGAACGAACTGATTGTGTCTGATCTCTCAGCTCGCAGACATCAGAGGCCAGTCTGCTGCTCTTACCCGGTGCCATAGGAGTCTGCCCCACAGATGCTGTTTGGCTGAAAAAGCAACTGCCCTTAGCTGGAGAGGGCATGCACACTCCCGTGTTTTCATTTGCTTTCTCTCTCTTGCAAGTGCCACTGAGATCTCTCAGCTCTTCCACAGCAAATAGTATTTACAGTCGCTTAAAATACAGCTGGTCACAAAAATAGCAAACAGGAGTAAACAGTCTGAGGAATTGATCCAGCAGTGGGATAAACCCCGCTGCCGCCAGCCGCCATTTGGCAGGGACGGGGAGGGGGCAGGGGAAGGGGTGCTGTGCTGCTTGCCAGCAGCGAGCCCTGCTGCCGGCCTCCTCGCTTCCACACCAAGTGTGTACGAGCTCAAGTCTTTCCACCGGCAGCTGCGCTATCTCAGCTTGCAAAGCCTGAAGATATGCTTAGATCTACACACCTGCTGCAGCCTGGACTTGCTCCCCCTGAAACCACAACATGCAGCTCTAGAGACACTGCAGTTGAGGCGGTAGCCCGCATCTCTGTCCCAGCTGCCAGAACATCCCCATGATGCACACCCCTGAGAGGTGCCTCAGCCAAAAGGACTGCAGGCCTGGAAGGGTCACCCAGCTTCGACATGCTGGCTTCTGCAGCCCTCCGCCAGCTGACCCCCAACCCCAACGACTGCAGGAGCGAGCTGAGTGAGGGGCAGTTTGCTGGCAGAGGGAGCAGACCTGTTGGCAGCAGCGCTCATCGAATGTCCTGTCCCTCTGGAACCAGGTTTGGATGAAGTGCACCAGCTCTGGGCCCTGCTGAGCTGCCTTGGGGCTCTGCCAGCACTGGAATGAAGACACCCAGGAGCTCAGGACCATCACAAACCTGGTGCCTTCTACTGTGATCGCCTGGTGCATTTCTGCAGTAGAAACGTGCACCAGTGGGTGTGTATACATGTTTAAAACATTCCCTCTGAACACTTCATTGATGCATTTGTCCTCCTGGGAGAGGATAAGGGAAGAAATATGATGGATTTTAGTCACACTACTAAAAGCACTACCAAATGGCACACTGATATGGTGGAGGTGGGTGTGTTATAAGACCTCACACAGAAAAAAGGTTACGGACCTGTTCTCACTGGGACCATGGTGGAACATCTGGGTTTTCTGTCTGGTAGGCAGCCTACAATATTACTGCTTGTTATAAAATTATGCCGTGATTTATACACATGTATGGCATGAGCGTACCACGAAACCTACAGGACGTAAAAAGTCTTTGGGTGAATAGCAATGCAGGCATTCTAAAGTTTACATATCCTAAATTTTTATGTTAAACTATATAATCCCATACGATATTAGTTTGTTTCAAAATCTGTACAGACTGCCATCATTTGTCCAGGAAACCAGAGAAAGTGAGTATACTTGTACAACCTAAAAAATTAACTCTGCAGCAGCAAACAGAACTCCTGCAGCCAAACTGGGGCTCTCGGTGATGGTCCTGCACAGAGGGGTAAGAGCAAAACCATATTGATCATTTCATGTCCTTTAGAGACATCAGTGCTTTCCATGAGGAAAGAAAACAAAATAAATAAGAACATTTAGCATTTGATTTGTGTTCCATTAGAAAGAAAAATGAGGTGAGCAAGCTAATATAATGTTAATTAGCATCTCATTAAGAGGTAGCAAGGCTGAAAATATAAACATACAAGCAATATGCGTGAAGCAAAGACCGTGTTTTTCTGGTTCCATGATTAGATTTGCTTGCTTTTGTTTTCTCATCCACTAGATTGGAGACAACCATGTAGGCTTTTGTCTACAGGTCTGTGCATTATTATTGTTCAAAGTACTCCAAAATCAGCAAGCTGTATTTTTGCTTTTAATTAGTTGGCAAGGTGACAAATCATGCAAGTGTCTGTAAGACTGCCTATGGGAAAATCCCATATGAAGCAAATAGAAATTATCTCCCTTGGGAGACACAGTGAGACACCATTATTTTTGGCACAGGAGGAAAGCTGTACTTGAAAGTAGTCTTGTCTTTGATTTGTTATCAAAGCTGAAACTATAAGGAAGCCCAAAAAAGGACTTTTAAACTGGAAATATAAAAATCCCAGATGAGTGCAGATCCCCCTTGATGAGGCAAAAAGCAAGAACTGAATTAGCAGAAGGTACTGAAAGAACACAGAGACAAGCACTGTCTCAGCACAGGAGCTACACACCTTCTTAGGACTGCAAGAGGTAGGAGAGGTGCAGGGTGGGACAGAAAGAAGTGCCCAACCTGACTGCACAGGGCCAGGACACTGCTGCTAGTGCGAGGCGGGATGATTACAGCCCCCTGTACACCAGTCCCTGGAAGGCATTCAACCAGATCCAGGTACGTATATTGTGTGTGCAGACATTGTGAGGTTTGAGGAGCACTGCACAGAAGGAGAACTACCTCATCACATTCACTAGTTTGGGGCGTGGGAGAAAGTAGCCTCCCAGGAGCCATCAGAATCTGACTGGGAAGGGACAATGTGCAGAAGCAAATGGGCAACATACAGTATCTGAACCTGACAAACTATCCAGCTTATTTCATTTAACTGCCACACAGATGTCAAGGGACTTTTGAGTTGTCCCATAGGGTCTGGAAGCAGGCTCCCATACCATTTCCAGTGCCAGTAAGTAAGTATATATTGAGATATACAGCTGTCCTTTTCAGTCCTGGCTCTGACCTCTACATCCTTTAGATGCTCTGTTCAAATCTGTAGGGGAAAAAGGTTCATCCTGCATTTCTCTTTTAGGTCCCACAAGTGTTCTTTCTTGGTTTGTCTCCTAACTTGCTTTTCCATTTCCTTCAGTGGCTCCTCTTCTTTCTCCTGTTATATCCAGTTTTTTCCCAGTGTTCTTTTCATCTTGCTACACTTTCCAGTGCATGCTACACATTTCCAGGATCTCCTCTAGTAGATGAGTACTGGCTTAAATGAATTTTCCTATCTTGTACATTCCTGATTTCTTCTCTGCTGTTCTAATACCTCCCCTGGACTTCTGGTGTTTCATCAGTTATGGATAGCTGCATACACTACCAGCACAAATGGATCCTTGTGTTCTTACAACCATGCTGTATTTACAGTTAAACTCTCCACTGCACATGCATCCAGGCTGCCAACACAAAACCTTCATGTTCTATAAACAGTACTTCACCAGCATGTCAGTGGCTTAAAATTCCTCTCTGTAGCCAACTGTATCTTGGCTTGATTACTGTCCACACTTTTGTTCAAAGACAAAATTCTGTGATACCAATTCTTTCCTCAGATGCCCTTGCTGTCCTCAGTACTGAACCAAGCATCATTCTTGTTCCTTCTTCCAGTCCTTGTATAGCTCTGAACCTGCCTGCCTTTTGCTTGTTTTCTGCCACACAGTCCTGCCTCAGCAGGGCTAGACTGCGTTTCCATGTTTCTGCACAGAACTGCATGTGCTTTTGCTCTAAAGCATGCATGAACATCAAGTCTGAGCTGTTTGGTGAGCATCAGAGTGATCACTGATATGCCATTCAATTGATCTGCACTTGTGTAGCAACTCTGACATCTCCAGAATGCCCCAGATTTACTGTGCATGCACACACCATTTGTGTGCTGCAGACAGAAGGGCCGAAGCTTTCCAGAAAGATCAAGTTGACAGTGTATGTGCAATAGCATTGACCTGCCCTTGGGTAGGACTTCCATGTTTAGGATTTTCTAATATCCGAAAGCCTAGAAAAATAGATTAAAATAATGAAATTTTCTCCAGACAAAATTGTAGGTAGAAGAATTACATGCTTCTATGCCAGGTGTCTTTTTTTCTCACTCCTTCATCATTACACTTTCTTCTGTGCCAGGTGTCACATCTGCATTAGCAAGTATGACAGAACCTTAGATACTGCTATCTGCAGATAACCTCTTTCTTACTGACTGCAGATGTCCGTGCCTTGCCACTACCACTAGTGGTTTTGGGGTGTTCTAAGTTCATCATGGTTTCTCATGATTACGAGCATTTTGAGCTCCCATTTGAAAACCACTGGACACTGCTCTTACAGTCATGAGCAGGCTTATTCAGAATACAAAATTTTATTGCAATTGTTCTGCTTCTGTATTCCTAAATGAAGGATTGTTATATATGCCACACATCCTCTAATCTGAGTGCTAGTTCCTCGGCAGCAGAGGTGAACTCACTAACAGGCTTCCCCCCTGGCATGATGCCCAGTGTTAAGTGATCTCACCTGAAGTTCTATTTCAGTTTCTTTCTTGAGGTCTTGCAGCTGTTTCTCGAGTGACTTTATCTCCTTCTTTCCTTCCTCCTCCCTGAAGAAAAATGGGAAAATACAATCACTTGAATGTATCAAAAAAGACAAGAGCTGTTTGCCTAGAAGGAGAACTTCCAGTCTCCTGATACATTGCATCACCTAGCTGAGCACTGCCCCACTTACCCTGCTCGCTCAGTGAGTTTGTAACAGCTGAACTAAAAGAAGCGCACACAAAATCTTGGCCTGCTTCTTCAGAACAGCCAAAGACAAGCCCCTTCCCATGGCTGAGTAGCAAAAAAGACATTTATGGCTTCACTCTGAGCCTCAGGGAGGCAGCACATCTGCAAGTCAGGAACAGAGACTCCTCACTGAAGCTAAATTAATCCCAAAAGAAGAGGTGCACAGACTGAGCAAAGAGGATGGGAATGAAAGGGAGAATGAATCAAAAAACAGGGGATGCTCTTGTTGAAAGCCTGGAGTGGACTTGGGGATGATGCAATTCCTATAGCAGAGGGAAGAAGCCTATCATGGAGTGACAGTTTCTGCATTTCAGGCAAAGATCTTGTTTCTGTGCAGAAGCATGCCTGGTCAGCAGAGAGTGCCAAATCGTGTAAATTTCATTATATGTATGGAATGTGTTTTTTATATATCAGACTTAAAATCTTTCAAAAAACACTGCCTCAGATTCTGAGATCCATGAGGAATATGAACAAAGGCCAAAAGCTACAGAGCTGTTTACCTGTTTAAAACAAAACAGATGCATTAGTGTTCTAGATCTTATTATTATCTTATCTCACTGAGTGCTCTTCTAAGCTTTTATACTTATGACTTGATTTAAAGCCAGTAAATACTAGAGGTGGTACCTGAGCCTTTGTACCCTATCCCAACCTTACAATCAAACACACATTTTATTTTCAGAGTCCTTAGCTGGGTGACTGTGATAAACAAAAGCTCCTGAAAAGGAGTTCCAGTCTTGCTTCAGACTAGTATATTGACACAAAACCAGACAAAAATATATTATATTGAAAGACAGATTAAGTTCATTCCATGAAAAGAATGTATAGTAGAACAAACCACATACTGGCTAGATATGATTGATAGAATGGAATAAAAATGATGATGTCCCTTCTGATTATAATTTGTCTGCTTCTTTCCACCTTCCGGTATTGAATAGTTATTCCACAAGCAATTGATGCTTTCATTTTTGCTTTCTGTCCCTTCCATGGATAAACAATAAATCCCTTGGGTTTAGACAATGAAAGAGTTGGGTTTCGTGCTTGAAATCACACATTTCACTGGAGGCAGACCACTGAGCCACCACTGGGGCTGTTCCATGGGCTCATGACAAATCATGACTTACTGCAGCTTTGCTGTCTATCCTAAGTGATGGGCCTCAGCTGCTACACAGAACAAAGTAGCTTTAAAATGGTCAAATACTTCTCTGCTGACTGCTATTCTTTCTGACAGGCTGGGGACTGGACCAGAGCTTCTTGTGCTAAAATAACTCCAAACCTCTGGTGCACAGAAGTTTGAGTTGAGATTATAACAAATCCATACCCTATCAGATCTGGGACAGAAGAGGATCTATAATGTAGTAGCTGGTGGATTAGCCTTAAATAAGACCAACTGCCTCTCTCACCATCTGTGCTAGCCCCTTGCTGCTACTGGGAAAAGGGAGCATATTAGCATATGGGTCAGGGCAGATCCTCCTGGGCATCACATAACCTGAAGACCATATGTTGCTGGCCCTGGTTTGAACAGATTCTCTGCTGCTCTGGCTTTCACTGGGGACAAGGAGTTAAAAATCATGGATCTCTTACATCACATTATGTTTTAATTGATATGGAGCAGCATTTGCATTAATGCAGACACTGGTATCCACTATGGTGACAGCTCAGGCAATTCCTAGCTCAGATCAGTATCTGAACCATCAGTTATTTCTTTCTGAAAGGGAAAGAAGCACAATTTGTAAAGCAGACAGAGTAGTTCAAGATGGAAAAGTGGAATCTTTTCTGTATCTTGGGGTGTTTTTTTTCCTTTTTAGCATGTACTGAAGGGGAATGGACTTTAGCTTTGAGCAGTTAAGCAGGAAAGTATTGAACACAACACTGACCTGATGAGGAAGTCATGAAACTTGTTCTTTTTTGCCTTCTCTCTCTCATTAGCTTCCATTAGGCTATTAAATGTTCCTGATTCCTGCATCTTTTTCATAGTGACTGTAATTACATCACTTGCATACTGCCTGCCAGGAAGAAAAGGAACACAACAGTAATTTATAGATGCTGGTACTACAGTGTCTGGTGCCTCTATACATTATTGATCGCTAAAAAGGTAAGGAAATATAAGATCCCATTTCTGTTCTTATGTCTATCAAACCCAGGAGTGCTTCTCCCATGATACCTGCTTCTTGTACATCTGGAGAATTCTGCATTAGGAGTTGGTTGAAGTGTATAATGTAAAAATTCTGCCCCTAATGCTACTTTAGGAAATAATGAAGAAAGAGGCACAAACATATCCACGCTGCGCCAGACTCTGCTGCTATCAGGAAGAAGGCTGCTGGCCTGCAGTAGTGATGACAGCTACATATATCTTGGACAATGAGACATGAGAATGCAGACAAATGTATCTATGAAGGAATACCTGGGTGCCAAAACATCCCAGTACAGCCCTAAGCTGATCTTCACAAACACATGGGCTTGCCCAGTTTATTGAATTTCATGGTGCATATGGTATTTATATTTTAGCTGCATTTTCCTCATTTGTATTAGGATCTTCTTTAATCCCTTTGTTGAAATAATATTAAAGGACAGAAGCCAGGATGCAAAAAAATGCATAGTGAATGCTCAGCTCCCTAGTCTCTCTTTTAAACCAAATGCTGCTGGTCTTTCTGCAAATCAAGGCACTGGATTACGTGCAGGAATAAAATTTATTTCAAAAAAAAAGAAAGAAACTCTTTGCTCTTTATATACATTATCTGTTCTATAAAGGAGAATGGCTGTAGCTGCCATAGAGGCTCTGTGTGCCCTGCAGAATAACTGAGTTCACAAGGCAATGCTCAGATCCCACTTTGCCTGGACATACCTGCTAGGGGAACCTGACTCCACATACCAGAACAGCAGCTCTGGCTAGTACCTAGCATGAGTTCCACCCAAGCAACCATTATCAACTGGGTAATATTTTGCAACTCCATTCAAAATAAGCTGATTGTCATTACTTGTCATCCAGGGGCAAACAAAGGCCAGAACTGAATGGCCTATGAAGCTAGACCCCACTGCTCTCTTTAGAGGCACTCCTTCCAGAACAAGAGCGAACTACACCAGCAGTGGGAGAATGGGAAGCCTGCGTTTTTGCTTTCAAGGGATAGACAGTGAACTTCACAGCTCTGAGCATCCCCCACAGTCATATTTGTGCTTCACTCACCTGTCAGCCTGAATTTTTCTGAGCTTCTCTAGAGACAGAGCTCTGTGTTTCATGGCCCTATTGGGAAGATGATGGGCACATTTTAGATTTTCAGTTTTCTGCAGCTGCTGCTTGTGTTTGATGCTTTTCAGAGACATGGAGGTAACTGTTTCCCCACTCCCTTGCCCTGCTGATGTAAGCTCTTGGTAGTTAATGTCCAGCTCCTTCTGGGTCTCTGTGATTTCCTTTGTTTCCTGGATGCTGGTCTAAAAGGGAATAAGAGAGACCTGCTTGCACATTGGGCAGTAGAAATAAACCAATTGCAACGTTATGTGAGAGGAAGAAAAATTAGTAATAAACTAGAATGAAGCTATACTAAGAGCAGTCAATAGTGTATGTTGCATTCTGCAAAAATAGAATAGCAGAAACATTTATCTTGGTTAGATTTGACCACACAATGTAGGCTTACTAAAGTTTATGGGATCAAAAGTCCTAAAGTGACAGGACTAGAAAAGGCCTCAAAAGGTGAATTCATCTGCTCCAAGAGATGACGGTTCAGATTGTGTCATTCCTGACATGTTCTTAATGACCTCCAGCAACAGAGACTGTGCGCCCTCCTGCCAGTGCCAGCACATCACAACAATCTTTACCATAAGAAAGTTAGAAAGTTTTTTCTTGTCAGCTGCAGTTGAGACCCTGGATTCTTGTTCTAGTCTCCACTGGCATGGAGGAGAAATCATTCTGTCCTTCTTTGCAGCAGCTTTTATGTATGGGAAGACTGTTAGCCTGTTTCCCCTCCACCTTCTCTCCATCTTAGCCATTTCCCACTGCCTGTCACCATGACCTTTCCCTACAATATTACAGTTACAACAAGAGCTGAGATGTGTGGAAATAAAAGTGATAGACATCAGCTTAGCTGGTTTTTTTTGACTGAGTGACAGCAGAGGAAGTATAACATGAAATCAAAGAAGAAATTCAGAATAGTGGCAGCTATCATCTACATGGAAAGGTATCCTGTGGCTGGGTACAATTTTATTTAAAAAGCCTCGGAAAAGCAAAAGCAAACTATAAAACCAGGTGAGGCCTCGCTTCTAGGAATTTCCCTGGTTTATGTGCTGTGGGTAAGAATGAAGGTGTATACAGTGGGATATTAAAAGAGAAAATTTTCTTGTCTGCCTACTGGCATCTCTGTGGCTGAACACATAATAGCAGTACAGCTGAAGTCAGCTAACGCAGCCACTGCCAGCCCTGTCCTAATCCATAGATGCCTACTAGCCAGCCTGACTGCGTGGGGAAATGGATTAGAAAGCTCACAGAGCTGAAACATTTTCCAGGAAAAAAAAAAAAAAAAGACAAAAAAAAGGTTATTTGTAGCAGCACCAGCTTTCAGTCCAGATCCCTCCACAACCACACACACCTTTGTGCCAACACAGCACAGAGGGCAGAGTGAAAACAAGCTGTCAGGGCAGCAGCTGTGTATGCCAGTAGTAATTCCAAGAAGTTATTTGTCAAGTGAGGATCCATTAGTGATCTGCGATGGTGCCTCAGTCCATGAGGGCAGTGTGTGGGGCACTGCAAGGGGGTGCTCCGTTCTGGGTATCTTGGACACCCCCAGATGGGATGAATCAGCTGCTGGCAGTGCCTGACTCACCACTGACTACAGAAGGAGTCTAGGTGACTACATACTTAATTTTGGGGCAGTTAAATTTACATTAAATGAATCACATGCAAAGTATACATAGACCAATAAAAATTATGGCGTTAAGATAAAAAGGGCTTAAATAGTTTGCTGGTGATGGCTCTACTTCAGAAAGAACTAATTTTGGCAAATAAACCGCTTCAACAGCATGTAGATTTTATGAATGTTCTGATAGATGTTTTCTAATGTGTGGGAAAGTTCAAGACAGGCTGTAGCTGGATTGTCTGTGAACAGGAGGAACTTACACACTAATAATTGCCAAATAACTATGTAAGAACAAGGAGTTTGTAAACTGCACATGTTACCATCTGTGTAGTCTCCTAGCTGTTTACCTTTTGCTAGTCTTTTGCCCAAAATTCAGCAAACGGAAAGGCTGCCTTCTTCTGGGGGATGCACTGGCTGAAGCAATGTACAAGAGTCCCTGATTTGGAAAATCAGTGAGGTTCTGGCCAACACTATGATTAATCCTCTCAAAAATGTCATCAGCTGAAATCTAGTTGTCAGTCTTTGAAAATGTCATTGATTTGTTTGACCGACAGAGCTCTAGGGTACTTTTCAAATACAGGTCTTCTACAAATTCAATGATAACAGCAAATGTAAACTGAGAAATGGGGAGGAGTAGCAAATTACAGAGCACCAAAGTTAGCAAGCAGCTTCCCTAAGCCATTTTCTTGTTTCTAAATTGTTTCCTTCTTGATTTGTTTTGGCATCTTTAAGAATGCAAGTAGGGTTTATAGACTGTGAGAAAACTGTGTTTTAGTGACTCGATAAAAATTAATGTGTGATTGAAGAGAAAAGCTAAGGTGTTTTCTCTATAATTTAAGTGTACCTTTAGAAGGTCTATCAACCTGAGTCTGCGTGTCTGAACAACAACTCCTACTGTCCTAGAGATATGCTTTTCTCCTGTGTTTTTGCTGCTGCACGTAAGAGGTTTCCCATCCAGCCCTGTGAGGGAGAAGCATCCCCTGGAAGCAGGTGAGGCTGGCTCACAGCACTCTTTTAAGGGGAGGAGTGCCCTCTGTTGCACAGTCTGAGCATCGTTCACGCCCTGAAATTTACTGTAACACCAACTTCTGCTGCTTTGCAGTGGATTTTTTTGAAAGAAAAGGTAGTATGGAAAGGAAACGTGTAGAAAACAACATGTTGATTTACCTTCCTCTTGCGTTCATAAGTGGTACATTAGACAGAGTAAACAGTATTAGATCTGAAAACCTGGATCCCAGTTTTTATTTTCATACGGGTCACACACTTTTTTCTTTTTTGAAAACAAAAACAAAACAAACAAACAAACAACAACAACAACAAAAAAAAACCAACACAATTAAAAAAGAGTTTAAAACCTACTTAAACTGGAAACAGCCTGCTATGTCATGTAAAATATATGACAACAGAACTTAAAACCATTTCCCCCTCAGGATGGTCCCATCCTGTTTCCTATGTCTACCAGCTACCGGAAATATCACGACACCTTCATCCACAGCGACAAACCTCTGCCTGAGCATTAGGGCTTCTTCTCTATTCTTTGTATCTCTGCTCAAACCCTCTTAGTCGTGATGCCTATTAGAAATCACCTAATTAATAATGGTCATTGAGAATGGGTAGTTACTATATATTTTGAAGTGGAATCTTTCTTAATTCATTGTCTGTGGAGACTAAAGGAACTTTAGCATGGACTTAGGAACAGAAATACCCTGGTTTTGAGTACTTTCAAGTATCCTATCCTTTCTTATTTTCAAAATAGCTGCAGATCTGTGTAAGAACCTAGATATGTTTTGTTTCATTTCCCCTAATACTTTCCTTGTCATCTAACCACCGCAATTTTAAAATTATAAGCCCATGAACCTCATCTTGGGCCAGTAGGGTCCTTTGCACAAAGTCTTGACAAAGGCTTCTCAGTGATGCTGCAATATAAACATTAAAATTGATCATCCCTGCACTTTTATTGTGTTTCTTCACCCAAGGGTCATGGAGCATCTTGCAGAAAAAAATATCTGAGTTGATTTTTTAAAAATGCTGCTAGAAGACATCAAACCAAGACAAGAAGACAACCAAGAGAGATTTCTTTAAAGAGGAAGGATAGAGGCACGTACATGGCTGATGTCTGTCTTGCCCTCATACGAAACCGGCATGATATATCCAAGAATTGAGAGCTGATCAACACAGTTCTCCAGCACAGCAGTAAAAAGCAGAGCTTCTAGATGAGTGAATTTTTCCATTTCTTCAGTCTCTGTGCTCTTGCTAAGAGGAACAAAGACAAAATACACCAATGAAAAAGACGCTATAGTATTAGTAATGTTAGTAACAATAGTTTAAACTAAAGATAGACCTGAAATAGCCTTATTTGCAGCCTTTCATATACTTCCCTAGCTTTGTTTATAGCCTTTCATACACTGTTTATAAGAGGAGCCATGCTCTGCTAATGGATGCATTCAGGAACAGTGGGAATGTTTAGCTTTCACAAAACAAAGTAGGTCCTGGTCCCTCCTACAGTAGCTCTGGGTAGATAGGCTGAGGAGGGAATGGATGTGGAAGGCACAAACTGGGTAAGATGGCCTCACCATTCAGTTCAAGGAGCAGGAGTGTTTCATGACGGCCTCTGTTATTTGGGAAACAATTGAATGAAGGTCTCTTTTTAACAGGAAAAAAATAAATCCACGTCTTGTAAAATCTCGGATGGTGAACCTTCATGCTCTCATCATTCCTCGCTATTACTGTGTAGCCTTAACGTTTTTATGATCCCAATCTCCTCAGCAGGAACTGTTACCACCTTAAGATGTTGAAAATCACACAAGAACCAATAACTGGACTAAGTAAACTATCTTTAACATTCAGTGTTGTTCTATTTTAAATTGCATTTCAAATGTGAAACTGCTCTGATGTACACTTAAGCATCCCTTTGCCTTGCTTACAGATGGAATACTGTGAAAGCACATCTAGGGGATGCTGGAAATGCACTACTAATCCAAGTGAAACTGGTCCATTTAGAAAAATGCATAAGAAATCTCTTGCATAACAATGGAGAAATTCTCTGAGATTTGTAATGTTTTGGTAAGACATTAGACAATCCTTTCAAACCCTACACTCACAAAACAGATATTTCTTATATAACACCTAATATAACTAGAGTCTGAGATGGCTGATATCCTGAATGTCATTGCAATGGAAGCATCAACATCCCCTAACAAAATCTTCATTTGGCTGCTATACCTACAACTGGATTTGTGCCATCTATAGAATCCTCGAATAAACAAATTCTGGGTCTGCAGAATATTATAGTCCAATCTGTAAGTATGCCAAGGAAGTACATCACACAGTGCCTGTTAGCATGATTAACAGGATAAGACATGGCCATATTCTATGAAAATTAAAGAGGTTTAGAGGCAGTTATGCTCTGGATCACTGGAAATCAGTGATTTTTCATAAGCAACTTTATATGTGTTTAAAAAATACATACTTGTTATAAGCTCTCAGAAACTGTTACCATTTGTCCTCATCCTTTTTTGTTGTTTTTGTTGAAGAAAATAAAGTAATCGACAGTTGGAACATGAAATTAAATTCACTTAAGCAGAAAAATTGGGTCACTTTTCAGTGCAGGTTCATTAGATGTCTGTTAGTACAGAACAGGCAAACCAAACAGAAATAACTTAGATTTTATGTATTTGTTTCTTGATGTCCCTGTCTCTTGCAGTAAGCACTTCAATGCAACATGTCTTGAAATGTACCGTCCTTTGTAACAGGGCACAGCTCTTCTTGTGCATAACACTACAACTAGAAAGCCTAGTGTGTGAGTGGCAGTCTTTTTCATGGCAACTACCTGGGTAGTCAATGAGACTGAAATATCCTTTCAGCCTAGACCATTTTCTTCAATTAACTGAATAATAACTCAGAACGTAAGATTACCAGGTACCCAGTCTTGCATTAAGGATCTTCACAAGAATTTCTGCTATCAGGTCAGGAACACAGGATAGAAGAGAGGGTTCAAGGGCGGCATGACTCCAATGTTATGAACCATGAATAATGCAAAGTGCTATGATGTGGCAGGACTGGTATTTTCAGCAAATATAATGCAGTATTAGTGTCACTGCATAAGGCATCGGTAAACTTCAGATAAGGCACTGTGCATGTTTTTAGTCGTTTGTGTTAAAAAACATGCACAGGTACAGAAGACGACTAGTGGGTGATCATGGGAATAGAAATTCTGTTTTACAAAAGGGTAAAAGAATTGAGGACTGTGATTACTCTCTGTAATGATGAGTAGATACCAGAGAGAGAGAGAGATTTAAGTTGAAGGATAATACTGGTTCAGGGTCAAAGGAGTGTAATTTCCCCTAAGCCAGGCATTTATGGTAAGGTTTCTAACTTCTGGATGGATGAAGGTATGGCACAGCCTTTCAAACAAGGTTATGGTAGAGGCACCCTAAATTATTTCAAGAAGCTTGCTTAAATCAAGTCATGAAAAGACAACAGAAAAATTCTGAATATTATCGATATGTTTACTATCCTTCTTGTACTACTTAGACTGATTTAGCTAATTAATCCCACTAGTCTGGGCTTTTGATGGTCACCTATGACTAAGAAGGAACTGATTTCCTCCCTTTGCTTCTGAGATTTTTTTTTCTCTCCTTTCTCTTCATTATATATATAAAAAAAAAAAAAAAATTGCTACAGCATGAGATAGGAATCTAATAATATTAACAAATAAATAGCTAATAATCTGTATCATAAACTAAACCCATCACTTTTCCTTTCTTTTCAACCTTGAAATCAATGATGGAAGTGGAAATGCACGAATTAAGTATTTTTACATAAAGTTGAGAAAGTCAGACAATGTCTCTTTACAGTCAACAGGCACTAATAAAATATTTTTAAAATGTCACTCATTTTTATGTTTTTAAGAAATCTACGGTCCCTATTTTGAGTGTAAGAAATATAAGAAAAATCTATTACATGTGGAGTCCTAATGCTAAAAATATGGTGAAAAAAGATTTGTTCTGAAATCACTGTGACAGATGATTATGACAGCATTCTTGAAAGAAGAAATAATACTTGCAGCTCTCATAGGAAAAAATGACTTATTTGGAAACAAAAAGGGATGCAATAGCTTTTCCTCTATCCAATCAGACGCTTCTGTCCAGGAGAGAATTAACTCATTATATTAATGTGCATTAAGAAAGCTCACAGCTGGAATGTTTCTCTAAAGCCTGCTGGTTTACTCCTATGTATCTCCTCTTATAACCATATACTCAGCAGATGCATGTGCCAAGCCAGTATGCTCTGGGCTTATGTTGACTTGGAAGTGAGAAGGAAACTGCTGTCTGAGGCATTAGGAAACACTACAAATAGTGAGCTGCTCTCCCTGGATTTTAGCATTAATGAGGTGCCCACAGACCATCCTGATGCAGCCGTTGGCATTGACCTTAATCACTGCACTTTGCTGAACTCCTTCATTAAACTCTATGAATAATAATAATAAAAAAAAAGAAAGTGAAAGATTCAGTTTCCCCCAAGAGTTTAGGTTGACATTCTTCCCCTGTTGATCTAAAGAGAAAGAAAAACATATCAAGAAATAATTTTTAAAACAACTGTGTAAAAGCTCTGGCCTCCTGTTCCTTTGGGGATTCCAACTCCCTCTGCTTGTGTGAGAGTCCTGGATGCACATTTCTCCCATCCTGCTGCCTGGTAAACTAAAATGGCTTCAAAGGCAGCATTTTTTTGCAGCATTCTTTTTAGTCAATTAAGGAAATACTGCTGAATTCCAGTGAGAAAATTGAAAGCTGAGAATGTCACATTTCCTTCAGCTCTGTTTTGCAAATGATTGGCAAAGAGAGGTTCTGAATATCCACAGTGGCAGCAGCTGGGCCATAAATCAGAAATAGCTTAGTTTTTACCAAAAAAAAATGTCTCTTAGGCAAGGAAAATAACTGTGGCCTTACAAAACTCTGCCTACCACTACAGATGCTAGAACCTAAATTGTACATTAAAAAATATATAAAAGATACATAAAAAGATATATGAAATATATAATAGAAAAGAAACCTTGAAAAGCTGAAGTAATCTTGGGTTTGGCTTAGAGATACAATTTAGCTTTTATCCTGACTATAGAGAAAAACTTTCCGCTCCTGCTCTCTGAGGCTGTACTGATGAGTACCCAGGAGAACCGAGTGCAGGAATGAAAGACATGGTGCTACTTTTAGCTGTATATCCCATATGGGACCAAATCTGTATGGGACAGGAAAAGATAAGATTTAGGGAGCATTATTGGCTGTGGAATCTCTACTGCTGGAAACAGAGTGTTTTGACAGATGTTTATTCTCCTCGAAGCAGGGACTGTGTCCTCTCTCTGAGCAGAGGTTCCTAGCACACATTTGATACTGTTAACTGGGTAGCTTACTGAGTGTTGCTTTGCTGCCCACCTCTTCCTCAAAGTAGAAGTCAACAGAATAATTTGGAGTATTCATAACATTCCATCCCTTCTCTGTTCCTACTTCCTAACAATTTAATCTGAGAAAAACCTCTGCTTATACGTGCTTACAAGGCATTGTGTGCTGCTACCCTGGCTCAGCAAAGTGCAAATAAACTTAATTCTCCTCCTGGATCAGAATCTAATTCCTCAGTCCAGGTTTATGCCCAGCTGGTGACAAGGTGACGGTAGATTTTGCTCCTGAGATCTGATTTTTCATAAAAGCACTATGGACACATGTTCAAATGCAGCTTAAGACACTTAGGGACAAAGTTACAGCGAGAGTTTGGATGGCCAGGGCACCTTTTGTGTTGGAGTATGTTCTTAAGTCACATAAAGTGTTCTGAACATGCACCTGAATTTCTGGCTATGTGAGGGAAGTGACAGAAATCGGGAGCGAATGACCTTGACTTGGGAAAATGGGTAAGTACATGCTTCCATCTGTTCTTACTTAGGAAAACACGGGAATGTGAGACTTCATTACAGGGATCTGATCATAGCAACGCATGTTTTCTGTCCCCAAGGTGATACTGGGAGTAAAATAAATGCTGAGATGATTTGCTATTCAAGGTTGAGAAGAGAGGAAGACGAGCAGTACCCGGAGATCAGCCATCACCAGAGGGCCCCAGAGCCCTGCCCATCCCAGAAGCACCGAGCGCTGCCCCCTCGCCGGGCTCCTCGGCCTGTTCCACCGCCGCAGCCCGCTCCCGCCGCCGGGCCCGCTCACCCTGCCAGGTCTCCGCGCCGGGATTTACCCTCCCACCCCGGACGGGCCCTGCCCACAGCGGCTGGGCCGACGGTACCGGGCCGCCCCCCCCCAACTCCGGCGGCGCTCACCGGGCCGCGGCGGCGCCCGTTTCCATGGCGACCAGCACGCCCCGGGGGCCTGGCGGGGCTGCCCAGGCGAGTGCCTGAACGGCGGCGGGGGCTGGAGCCGCCTCTCCCCGGATCGCCAGCCGGGGGAGGAAGGGGCCGAGGGGACGGGCCGCGGGACGGCGCTGGGGGCCGGTGCGCCCGCCCCGCCGGGGCCGCCTCGGTTTTGCCGGCTCAGGCGGTACCCGCGGCCTGTCCTTCCCGGCCCATATCCCGGCAGGCAGCGCGGCGGTTCTCTCTTTCGCCGCCATCTTGGCTTGGCGCCGCGGGGGTGAGTCGGGGGGACGTGGCGGCGGAGGGAGGGGGTTACCCCAGCCACGGAACCGGCGGCGGGCGCGGGGACCCCGGTGGGTCGCGGCTGGCACCGTGCGGAGCGGGTAGAGGCCGGGATGGCGCTGATGTGCGGCGGATGATCCCGGCCGCCGATTGAGGCCCGCAGCTGAAGGTGGGGGGGGGGGGTGGGGTGGTTGTTGGGCGCCTGGAGCGTCCCGTTCTGTGGGGAAACGGTGTCTGTCTGTCCCCTTCTGTTCCCCGTGAGGCGGAGCCGTCTTGGGGAGGGTGGCTGGACCGGGCCTGCGGCAGCTCCCGCCCGCTCAGCCGGGCAGAGCTGCGGGCTCATGCCTTCCGTGTCGTTTCTAGGCCTGCAGGGACCCGGGTTCAGGAGGACGCCATGACCGGGAGGTGAGTGACCTGCCTCGCTGAGATGGCTCTCGGCCCGCTGTCACAGAATACTTTTGACAGGTCTGCTTGCAAACAGAGCATTTATGAGGGTGTTTTGTTAAAACTGTGGGCTATGATTCGTTTTCCTGTAGCTGCTCTCATTTTCCAGGATAGCTCCTCTGCCCAGTATCATGCTGGGCTATCTGTTAAACGGCCACAGTTGTGTCTCTCTTCTGAAGCCTCTGCCTTAAGCTGGCTGTAGCTGTTCATACGGTGTGCCACGCTTTCCCCCGCCTGTCAGTAGGTGCGGGATATTAATGGTGGTTTTGTTAGTACTGTGTGAAGCTTCACTGTACAGTAAAGGCTTTGACAGAATGTTTCCTTGAGAAGGCGGCTACTATGCTGTCGAGTTTCCTTATGGATATAGGGATTGAGTTTGTAAATGATGGAGGGTTTGATGCTGAATCACAGCTTTTTGCCTTAATATTTATCTGTCGAGTTTATTTTCTGTTATGTGTGTGCATAAGTAGCTTAGTTTAATACTGCTATATTATGCGACAGTTGCTGAATGCAGTTGAGACAGACACGATGTGTAGAATGAGCCCTACAGTTGCTTTACCTGCATAGTACAGACAGGTTCTTGTCATGAAGAATTGTTGAGGAGTTTGTATGATGTTACTTGACCAGTGCATGTGGGACTGTCTCTCGGGCTGTCCCCATGGACTGCGGTTAATTCCTTTGAGGCTACAAATTAGCAGCAGTTAATGTCTTCTCCTATAGCAGTTCCTACAACACGGGAGACGTGACTTTGTGGTGTATAGAGAAAAATAATGTTTGCTCATCACAGGGTATTTGTAGACCTGTGAAAACATGACATCTACTAATGCTGAAGTACTTTGGTTTTAGTATGAAGCCTGTAGTGCCAGAATTTTATAACAAGCAGAAAGATACAGAGTTCTTATAAATATTCATGTTCTAGTTAGCTTTCCTTTGCTCACCCCACGTAAGGATTTGCAGTAATCTGTAAAAGTGAAAGCAGTGGGGTTTTTCGTTAAATTACTACTGGTGTGAAAATAGTTTCTGATGAAACACAACATGATTTGTTTTTACATTTGATGCTTTGGAGTGAATTATAATTTGTAAGTATTTTCAATGCTTATAGGCTGTGGTGCAAGGCCACTTTTGCTGGCTACAAACGTGGCCTCCGAAACCAGCGGGAGCACACCGCCCTTCTGAAAATTGAAGGTGTTTATGCCCGGCAGGAGACAGACTTCTACTTGGGCAAGAGGTGTGCCTATGTATACAAAGCTAAGAAGTAAGTAGTTTTTTATAGTAATGCTATAATGCCTGTATCAGCTTTTACAAATGCCAGGATATGAGCAGTCTGTTTTATAGAGCTTTTGTTAGAACTAAAATTAATTGGGCTCAGTTTATCAATAGAATGTCCATGGATTACTGTATAGACCCATTTCTTGGGTTGGTTTTGGTTTTAAGGTCTCTGATTATTTTTGCTTTAGTTGGCCTGTGTGTTCTTGATTCAGATCATGAAATGATGTGAAATAATCATTCGCTGTTACAGACGATGTGTTAGAGAGCAAACGGGATGAGAAGTTTTGTGTGAGACTGTCAAAAACTGAAGGCGGGTTGATAGAGTAAATTGAAAAGAGGTGAATTTGTGTTCAGTGCTGTTGGTTACTTAAACAGTAGAATTATTTTGTGACACCTGGAGGAATTTGTATCCTGACTTTTGCATGCCTGTGTCAGAGCACTGTCATTTTTGTTGTGCTGACATTGGTGGATGCCTTAAGAGCAGTTACTCACTACCTTCCACTTATTTTTTGAGTGTAGCTGTTAAAATTCAGAATTGCCTTGAATAAAATTGATTGGACTGTTAACTTGACCACCATCATTTCTGAGGTGGCATATGGCTTTTCTTCTAAAGCAATTTTTTGCAGTTTATTGCAGTGACTTAGTCCTCTCCTGCCTGTGGTGTGTTTGGTGAAATCTTACAAATAAGATGTTGCATTTTCTTTGGAGTTGAAATTGATAAGTTTTCAGTTTGATTGTCTTAGCATCAGTGTTATCCAAATTTTTAAGCTTTGTGACTTGTTCAGAGTTTTTCAGCAGACCTTCTGATAAATTACAAGCTGCGATACTTACCTGTTTGGAAGTTAGAGTGAAAATCCCAGGCCTAGCAATTTTCACATGTAATAAAAGTGGAAGGTGATCCAAATAAAGATGGCTGTGGAATGAAGTTATGGCATTGCCTTGAAAAGGCACTTCTCTGCCCCCAGCTGTGAGTGGTGTGCTCAGCAGTTCTTTCTCTCTTTCCTCAGCAACACTGTAACGCCGGGTGGCAAGCCCAACAGGACACGAGTGATCTGGGGGAAGGTTACCCGCGCCCATGGCAACAGCGGCATGGTTCGGGCCAAGTTCCGCTCCAACCTTCCTGCCAAGGCCATTGGACACAGAATCCGGGTGGTAAGAGCAACAAGATATTTATTGGCAGTTTTCAGGGTGCCTTTTAATCCCACATAGTATGAGGGAAAACTTAAACTGTGGTTTTGGTCTGTTGCTGTTGTGTTTTCACCGTAGCTCTTTGGTAAGTGCTCCATTTGCAACTAGGAGAGGTTTATTGCTGGCTTCTTGTGCTGAGGGGGCTTTTCTTGTTATCAGGAGTGTTTATACACTTGTTCAGGTTGTCTGGAAAGGCTCTTTCAGTTCTGGGAAACTTCCTCAGCTCCCTTCTAAAGCTGCCTTGATTTCTTTTCCGCAGATCTTTTATGTGTGTTGTTGCACACATCTACTCCAGTTCCCAGCAACTGATAGATTTTTTTTTTTTTCTTTTCCTCTCCTACCTCCCTAATGTTTTAACTGAGGGGCGTGTTGTCCTCACCTGCCCACTCAGACCTACTCCACAGCTAACATTTTAGCCACAAGGCTTAAGGCAGACTGTCCCTTTAGGTCCCTCACCCAGAGTTTTGATGCAGTATCTTCCTAGTGGTGTTGTCAAGTGGAGTGTCAGAGGGTTGCAGTCCTTCCTTTCTGTCTTTTCTCCTAAGCCTTAGAAAAAGCACAGTAGGAGCAGCACAGTTAAATCCTGAAACCGGACCCGTGAGGACTCTTCTGTCAGTGAGCAGGAGGACTGACTGCCGGGGGCACCTGTACCCCGGCAAAGTGCTGCTTCAAGTCACTGAGCTGGTTGTTACACTTTCCAATTCTTGCACTTTGTAAATGGGAGAGTCACTTCTATAGTAGTTGAAGATCTAGACTGTAACTGCAAAACTTCTGTTTAAAATAGTACAGTCCAATACCAAGATTTCTAACATGTTTCTTTTATTGTCTTTTACAGATGCTGTATCCATCTAGGATCTAAATTTTTATTGGAAATAAAATGGAGAATCTGTTTCATTTTTGTACATTTCTATTTTTATTCCCTCCCCCTATTTTGAGGGACTTTGTTCTTTTTCAGTAGCATATCAGAGTTGACAGCACAGGGATGGAGTAGTGACTCTAAGCTAGATGATGAAATGAAGATTCAACCTGTGCTTGGCAAGACATTTTTAGAGCAGACTACATTCTAAAGACAAATAACTGGCAGCCTTTACTGCGACCTGTCTGCCTCCCATCATGGAATCTGAACGGTTTGCAAGGCTAAACAATAAATGTTTACAACCTCATAAACTGTGCACACAAGCTTTATATAAAACATGAGAAATAATTCCTTGCCTACCTACTAGAGGGAGGCTTCTTGTTCCTCACACCCTTGGCAATGACTGCTGTTGAGACAAAACTGTAATGGAACACTAAATCCTAGCAGGTGTAAGTCCTAGCTTGTGTCTGAAAATAGTAGTTTTAGTAGAATCACAAGAAATGAGACAATATGTACCTGGGAAGCATGCATGGCTGTAGCATCTGCTCTATGAAATTTATTTAGACACATTTTCATCACACAACTCTGTAGTGCCTGAGTGTTAATACTTACTGGTTTCCTGGCCAGCCATATCTCAGTGTGTAATGTGGGGTGGTGAGGATCCTTACATCACACTCACGTATCACTTCCTTGAGTTCTTCAAGGTTTGTTGAACAAGGTAGTAAAAATAAAATGAATTTAAAGGTTTCTAAGGTGCAAGCCTCAGAATTTCTTGGTACATCCTGCAAGAATACTGGGTAGTTTTAAGGGAGGCTTTGGGCAGCTGCAGGTTGGCATGGTTACTGCTGATGTCATAGTCCCAAAATGACCTGTTAGTGCTGAGCGGGTGAAACTACTAATCCCGTGTAGTTGTTCGGTCATTTGGAAAGCATCCCTAGCTGGTCAGGCAGGTGAGTTGCTGCCCTGAGCTCCCCTGGGTCCTGCTCCAGCACTGGTTTTCCCTTTCCTGTGAGGAAGAGTTTCCCACTCCCTGCCCGGCCCTACTGCTGGGGGGCAACAGGGAGCCCCCAGAGCTGGGGGCTGGTGTTTCATAACTAATACTCTTCAGAAGGAGGTAGAGTAGTCATGTATTTACATTATAGATTAAGACTGGCAATGCAAACAAAAACTGGACCTGGCTACTCAGCTCTGGTATGGAAATTACTTTGCTAGGCTTGCTTCAAGAAAACCTGCTGCTACTGCTGTCTTCAACAGCAGGAGAGCAGTTGTAGCGGAAAGCTGCGTGTTTTTAACGTGTAGGGAGAAACTGCAGCTTACGAGATGCTGGGTCAGGTTGAGCAGGGCTTTAGTCTTCCACAAGTACTGACAGGTTGTACACGTAGGATTCAAATAAGGATGGGGTGGAACACAAATTGAATTTCCAGTTCTAGGCGTTACCAGAGGAAGGAGGAAGAAACATAGTGGGCAAATTGGACTGTAACAGCAGGTTGATAGGACTGTGGTCCCTGTCATGTGGTTGGATCCTGCTGATGGGAAGGTAATAAGCACCCTTGAGTTTGAGGTAAGTTGCCCAAAAATATGTAATGATCCCTTTTCTCCCCCCATTCATCTTTTGTTCTTGTTCTACTGTACCAGTCTGCTGAGGTAAAAAGCCTGTTCCTGGGAGGTCCAGCATCAGCTAGTAGTTGGCAGCAATTTTTAAATCTTTGTGTCAAAACTGCTGTTTCATTTCACGCTGATTTGGTCCCACCAAAGCCAGTGTGTTGCTCGTAGGTGGTGGCTGTGCAGAGCAGCAGGCCTGCGCGGTGCAAGTGCCTTTGCTACAGCAACCCCCTTCACTCCTTTCCCTGGCAGTGCGGTAAACTGGTGCATGGGAGGAAGCTATGGCATCGGAGGAGCCTGCTGTCTGCTCCCTCATGGACCGAACCACCTGGGAGCTCCTCAACCTGCTGGACATAGTGGGGAGGCAGAATGGACAGGTACTGGTGATAGAGGTGGACGATGACAACGTGAGAACTCCCTCGGTGTTGGTGGATTTTGCCCAGGACCTGTGTGGCACAGCTGACAGGACTGAACTGCAGCTGGCAGAGAAGATGGAAGAGGAGGAGGAGGAGGTTTGGCCACATCTGGTTTTTATGTTGTGGCAAGCTAGCATGTTGAAGTACCTCATGCAGTGGGATCACCTGGACGAGGCCCTCTGGAATGTGAGGAATCTCTTCCCCTGCCTGCCAGATGTGCTGGTGCTTGTGATGATCCAGCCAGACCCCCAGGAGCAGCTGGACCAGGCAGTGGGAGCACTTAGGAGGCTGCAGTGTCTGCTGGATGGAGCCTGGCAACTGGTGGTGGAGGCAGCGGTCTACAACCCAGGCCAGCCTGATGGTATCCTGGAGGCAAAGAGAGCTGCGTGTAGAGCACTGAGAGAAGTCTTAAACTGCCATGAAGGTATGCTAGGACATAGCTAAACACACAGGTGAGGGACAAAGAGACAGGCTTTTTGGAAACAAAGCCATGCTCAGGGTAGGGCACGGAAGGGTCTGAGGAGCAAGTGTAGAGAAAAGTGAGGCTCGGTGGCTGGGTTCAGATGCAGGAGGGAAGATAAGCTGGAGCTCGCAGGCAGTGTGAGCTGGAAATGAGAATGAGGGCTTAAGTGCTGGGATGGGGACAGACAACGTGAGTCTGAGCCAACTGTGTGTCCTTATCCAAGTTGGATGGTGGTGGCTCTTGTGCCTTGCCCCAAAACACACGTGGCTATGGAAGTGCTGCAGTCCCAGCTCCCCCGCTGGGGCTTCCTGGGATTATGTTAACAGCTCCATGGTCTCATTGACCCTGCGTTCTTCGTTGGAGGGATGTGCCAACTGTTTGGGTTGAGCCATAGCCCAAAGCTTTGTCCAAGGAGATGTCTGGTGTTCTTCTATCACGAGTGTTTGCTCCCATCTCCTAGGGTTCATTTATTGTTTCATTCCCACAGTTCAGTTGCTGCTGTGCTCTGCCTGAACATACGCAACACACGGTATCAAAGACAGCTGGAGAATTAATTCCCTTGGGCAGTAGAATCTGGCAGGTTGGTTTTAGTGCTGTTCACCTGGATGTCCCTTTGTAGAAATACTTGCCTCCTGGTGCCTTGCTTATCTGCCTACTCCTTCCACATGGACATGATTCATTATGTGGCTGCTGCCAGAAGGGGACACTGTGCCCTCAGCGTCACGGTGTCCTTCCTACAAAGCTCAGATTTCTTTGCTGCACTGGCTGAACAGTCCATCCCAGGAAACTTCTATCAAAAATCATTAAGTTTCTGCTTTGCATGAAATGCCTTGCTTGAATATCAAAATGTCCTCAAGAAACCAGCTGTCAGCACAGAGGAAGCCAGAGCAGGCCAGCAGCCTCTGGATTTTAAACTGTCCCAAAACTGAGATAGTGGTATAAACTCAGGAGAAAGAGCTGAGACCACGTTTTCCCAGAAGAGCCTTGATGCAGGGGTCTTTGGTATGTAGTTCCCATCATCACTAAGCTGCTGAAATTCCCTAGGGTTTTTTGTAGTCACGGGATGGTGGCAAAGTCCACTGCCCTCTCTTGCTTACTGAACAAGATGCTGCAAACAACATGAAGGTCTGTCTCCTGTTGCACTCTTATTTGCTATTAGTGCATTGGCCTTTCCTGAGATACTGTCCTCACACCGGAATAGTTTAAGGGTCTGGGATGAGCTGTCTAAACTTATTATACTGATCCAGGGGACCCTTCCCACCTACCCTGGTGGAAGGACCTGTGGATGGTTTATGTGTGTGAAGTGCTCTGCAACTTGCTGTTTCCCAGGCAGCCTCTCCAGGCGTGCTGGGTCGCTCTGTGCAGTGTGTTCGGGCATGCAGCACCTTGCTGTCATTCGTGCTGTGTTCTCACACTCGCTGCCTGAGTAGCCCATGAATGTCAGGTCCCTTCAGTACGATGGGTGAAAGCAGCTTGCTGTACCTTGACCCAAATTCCGCTGAGATCTGTAGATCTGGCTTACAGAGGTGTCAGCACCGCTCTCGTGGGAGGACCGGGAGTGGTGTGGGCTAAGAATCGGCTGGAGTGAGGACGGTCCTGATCTGTGCAGACTGACAATGCTGAGCCTTTCTATAACAGAAAGGACTGTGGTGGAAATCGATCAGCATCCTCTTCAAACTAGAGGCAGAGCAAGTAAAACAATACATTTGTGTTTGCCTCTCCTCATTCCTGGGGGAAAAAAAAAAAACAAACTGGAGATGAAACCCCAACATTTAGCCAACTGTCCATTAAGGAAGCTATTGCAGAGAGCTGATGTTACATACAACTGGGTACCAGTAGGCATCCAGCAGGTTGAATTACTGGGATGGGTTATTTTGGATGGGAGAAACTGTGAAGAGCAGTAGATTACTTTTGTTTCTAAGGCAAATGGACCCATATAATAGCTGAACTCACTCACCATTCTCTCTGGGCATGGCAAGGTACTATGAGTAACGGAATGTTTTTGCATTGGGAATTTATATGTATTTCTTCTGGGTTTTTTTACAGATCTTGTATCCACCTACTATCACCAAAAGAAGTATTAAAAATCTGGTATTTGTTTCATTTCTATGTGTGTCTCTGTGTACCTGTAAGCTTTAAATCTGTACCTCGAAGACTATGAAACTCCTGAAGCTGCAGGTTTGTACAATGTAGTATGGAAGGAGTGGTATTTGAGGGTGGTACAGGGCCTCTGAACCAACGTTCCTCAGAGAAAGGATCCTCCAGGTTATATTTCAAATGTGAATTCTTTCCACATCCTGAAGGACAGTCTGGCTTTACAAAGCAAAACAACTTTTCCATAAGTGTTTGGGTGGTGCTGGTGCTTACCAGCCTCTTGGATGAGGTGCTGGTTGTGTGAAAAAACCTGCTTTGAAGTATGGGGGGGAGGAAATGACCTTTTCAGGTGGTCTAAACATAATTATAACATACTTGACCCAGTTGGTCTGTTGTGGAAGAGATTTTCCATGAGCAATTGGACATCTTAAGACAAATTTCCCCTTTTGTGAGGACTTTTT